CATCCTGGATTACTGGTGATCGACTAGTTCAATATGTTACGGGGCCATCATAGCCCTTTATTCTTACTCATAACATACAATGACATACATACATTGTAACCAACATCAGGATACCAATTTTGACAATGAAAACACTTTATTTTTTAAGAGTTTTTGGTCATAAACATGAATATCCGCTTTATACTAAATGCAACTTATCCTTAACATATAAAATCAAAGCAACACGAACATTGTTTATTTCAATTTCAATATTGTGTGGGTGTGGGGAGTGTGGTGGACCAGTTCGATATGTTAGGGAGCCATCATAACTCTTTATTCTTATTCATAACAACGACATGAATACAACGACATACAGTTCAACCAACATCAGGACACTACATTAGCATAACTTAATTTACTTATACTAGAGGAACGTCTTGCAATAATAGCATTAACGGTATCAACAATTTTGACAATCAAGACACTTGATTTTTTCAGAGTTTTTGACCATTTCATCTGAAATTGAATTTCAATTTAGTTATTTTATTAGTCCGTAGCATGATCAGTAACCCGATCGGGGAAGTCGTTTTTTGTACAGAAAAATGTTTCCACTCTCTTTATATTTATGGGTAATAAAATAACCGTTGTTATATATTAGATCCAATTTATTTGACGTAACCCATTCGACGACAACTCTTTATTTCGTAAATTCTATATGGCAACGTCTTTATATAGCTACAGAAATTGTAGATTTTATACTGAATACAACTTGTCCATAACATATGAAATCAAGGCTACATAAACATTATTTATTACAATTTCAATATTGTCTTGCGCTGATATAGTAAATATAGAGTTACGTATGTCATTTAGAGTGATGTCGTAGATCTCAGCAAATGGGATGAACTCCAAAAAATTATCAGCAATTGATAGTTTGCATTGGAATTAACCACCTTAAAATTTAACATTCAACAGTAATCAGCTTAAAACTCTTTGATGTTTTGTTTTATTTGTCTTTTTTCGCTACTTCCTTTATGCTACTTGATGATAGACACTATAGAGAAATGTTGTACATTACGTTGACACCTCTTTCTATCTTTATCCACTATCTTCATATTTATATATATCACAATAACCGTTGCTATATATTTGATTCAATTTATTTCACGTAATCCATTTGTTGATATCTTTTAAGTTGTAAATTTTATAGGGGATCGTCTTCATATAGTACATTCATGGGATTAACTACAGAAATTCTAGACCCGTACCTGAGGTTACTGCAACCTCAGATGGAACTACGGAAGTGCCTGTAGTAATAGAAAAGAAAACCCCAATCGAGCTGAAGATTCATATCTTGTTAGTTCTCAGTTCAATTTGTATATGAGTTACCTTCAATTGAAAATTGTTATAGTATAAAATTAACCATCCTAAAAATAACCATTCAACTATGATCAGCTCAAAACTCCTTTATTGAATAAATCCATCCCGAAGGACCAAACTGATTTCCAATTCCATTTCTCTTCGTCCATCTTCCATCTCAATGGTGTACCTGCATTTACATATATTTGATGTATATGCACGTTCAGATTCGACCTCAGATGTTCTTGTCGGATGTTTTCAGCGTTATGCAATACCCGCGAAAAATTACAATTCAACGGATACAATGGAAAGCGGAGATGGCAAAAAACGTCAGACTTCGTGAAGAGTGGAAACTCTTTTTCTCTTGTCTGCTCCGATGCACAGATAAAGTATTCGGAATCGTGCCGGAGACTACCCTGATAGGGTATCCGTAGAGACGCTCTAAAAAAAGTCTATATGAGAATTCTGTCCTTGAAATCCATCGAATTCGTAATCCAATAAGGTAGGCATCGATAGTGAATACGGGCTTCCTGTCATACATCAAAGGGCATAGATTGCGGGATAATTCGATTTATGATTTGCGAAACGACAAAAGACAATTCTGTTTGCACTATTTCGAATATACTGGCAGCGACAACCATGAAAGAGCTAGGATATGTGTGCAACGAATAGATATTCACATTGAAAATGCAATTAGTAATCGAGAAGTCGCATAGTATCGACTTGTCGGTGTTGAAATGGAAGGGTTTTCTCCTTACCTCACTCTCGTCGCAGAGAATGATTTTCTCACATATCTATATAACACATTAAATAACGAAAAACGGGGAGGACTTGAATTAAACGTGAGTAAGCAATTGAGAAGAATATCAATCGTATCAAAGTGATAATGGATGGGTAATATATGAATCCAAGATAAGCAAAATATGCACGTGTTTTATCAGTTTCCTTCGGTGAATTCTAAAACAGCTCAACATCAACAAAGCTTCTGGTGAAATACCAGTTATCGTTCTAAAAATTGTTATAAAATGACTCGATAACAATAGTGAATGGAAACATTCACAACATCTCAGGAAAATTCGTAGAAAGAAGTACAGCTAGATGGTACATGTTTGAAAGCTCACATACTTTACATGAAAACAAGAACGAAAGAGCGAGAAATTCAAAATTTGTGTATAAAAATTTTCAATTTTCACAAAATAGACAACAGGTAGAGGATGTAAATTAATGTCAAATGGAGACAATATGATATTTGTTAAATAAAATTGGAAGAGACACCATAAAATTATTGTAAATATTAAGAAATAATGCAAAGTTTGAAAATTATTGTTTTAAACTGTTTCCCTAGTTATGGGTATGAAATGATGCTAACGAAAAATTCATATGTTTAGACATAAGTGAGGTTAAATATGTATTTACATAAATATTAAGGAAAGATGTATCTCAATATAGAAATAAGTAGCAAACTTGTAGAAGTTACCATCTTTGGCATATCTAAAAACGATTGAAAGTTGTGATGTACAGGTAATATAGGTAGTTTCATCAATTTCCCATGCAAAAAAAGAAACACTTTCAATCTCCGTGCTTATATTTTCCTTAATAATGCCACACTGTCTATGAGCTCATTTTGGATGGTTTTTGAGGTGCCCGAAAAAACACTACCGTTTAAAAGTTCCTTGTTATTGCCGCGATTAATCGAATCTTCGGTTTCATCGTGTCCACGAAAAGCTAATTCTTGGGAACCCAAATAAATCGTAAAATCGATAAGTCTTTTTAAACTCGACCGCAATTATGTCCTCTTTTTGAGCTGTATCTAAAGCTGTTGCTATATTTTGTTTGCTAAACAATTAATTTACAAGACGAAAATATATGCTCCTTAGATTTAAAATGTCTTTCTGTAGAACGAGGTAAATTTTTTAAATCGGAGTATCCTATCCACGTTTGGTATACGTTTTGTACGGAAAATAAAACACAGGGCCAACAAAAAAGTTTTTCACCTTTAATGGAGCCTGTTAACCAATCGAATTTATCGTACCAACTAATATTAAATCCTCGATTTTGTCGATTATCTGACGTTTTAATTGAAATCAAATTTGGTTGAGGCCTTCCCAGAGTTTTAATAATGTCAAATTTATTATCATATCATCATATTATCATTGGTCAGCAATCAATCGACTATATCGTCAGAGTTTTTAATATCGTCCAACTTATCCATAATAAATAAAAAATAAAACTTACCGAAAAGTGAAAACCTGAAAACACCTTGAAATTGAAAGAAAACACTTCAAAAACACATTAAAAATATTACCAAAAAGCACTGCTATAATACAATACTGCCTGTTTCATACACAAAAAACAAATGTTATCAAGAAACACTAAAACAATTCACCGAAATATTTTTCAGTCCCAATCCGTCACGGCATCCCATCCGAATAATTAAATAAAAAACAAACGCAGTCGTACACTAACGGAGACCAACTGGAGGCTAGCCTCCTCTAGCGCTATAATTTCTGCAACTTAAACTACAAATCGGGACGTATGTCGCTGGTTGGATCGGTCTCATGGAGCCTGTGTTTTTTGAAGCGGCCGGAGGCTTGACTCCCCTGCAACGTATGGCATTTATTATTTCGGGATGATGGTTTATTCGTTCATGGGCGGTGATTTTGAGTTGCGGAATACAGTGTGGTACGTACTACGTAGTGAGTGATAGTGGTTTTGAATAGGTTAAAATTTTATGGGGAGGCTAAGCCTCCCTTGCATCCTCTGGCAAGCCGCCGCTGGTCAGTTGTGTCTTTCCAAAATTTATTTACAGGTATACCTGCAATTCAGATTGATTTTGGGTAATATTTGTGTTTGAGCCTGAATCCACCTGAGGTGTTGAGAAAAATCTCTATACATTTCATCAAATAAAAATAATCCCACTCTTTACATTTTATAATAAAATATGCACAACTTATTCACTCGCACCAATGTATTGTATACTCTTCAGCTTGTATTAAAGTTTTTTCTTTTTTCTTGGTCAGCTTAAATACAAAAACGGCAAACGTAATCTTTCAAAAAACTGTAGATCTGTTACTTCACTTGACAAGCAGAATTAGATCCGTATCCAAAAAAACACTTCAATGTGATATTTACACAATTTACAAAATCGCGGCACATGTTTCGATATACAATACCATCTCCAGACGTTACAATAGGTGCCTGAAGATGCTAGTGTCCAGCGAAACACGTGTCGCGGTTCTGTGAATACGAAAAGAGGAAGATTAAAACTGAGGAAGATTTTAATCTTCCTCTTTGAAGATGATCACTTGGTGATCAAAACACGAGTCGAGGTGTTAAAAATAACGATTTGGTGTTGGGAAAAAACTCCAGTAATATTTAAACATATTGACCTAAAAGAAGGCTATGTTGAAAAATAAAACGCTCATTCGCCGAAAAAAAACCTATACGAATAGTCACTGACTCATCAAACAGCCCTCGTATATTCGAAACAAGAGGGGTCATAGAATGGAACCTTGAGGAAATCAACAAATCAAATGGCACCCAGGCAGAAAATGTTTTTTGTAAGAAATGGGCATTGCCGTAAATAATTGAATAAATAAATGTGTCATTTAATTACGAAAATTTGGCATGATTCGAACTGACCAATATACATTTTTTTCCAGGAACAAGCCTTAGATGCCAAACAACAGGCAGCGTCCCCGGAGGATACGGAGGATCTGTCGCCTTTGCCGGCGCACGCGCAGCAACCGGTCAGACGCAGGGGCGGCATCTCCGCAGAACCGGTCTCCGAGGAAGACGCCACCAGCTACGTGAAGAAGGTCGTCCCGAAGGATTACAAAACGATGGCGGCCCTCTCGAAGGCCATCGCCAAAAACGTGCTCTTCTCCCATCTGGACGAGAACGAGCGGTCGGACATATTCGACGCCATGTTTCCTGTCAACTGTCTTCCTGGCGAGGCCATCATCCAACAAGGCGACGAGGGGGATAATTTTTACGTTATCGATCAAGGGGAAGTGGAGGTATGTTTTTATTTCAACTTGATCTGCGTTTAGTGAAAATGATTTCTATGTTACGTTTAACATCTACGCACTTGTTCGTCAGTCAAATATCTATGAAGGGTTTACAGATTCATGACGTAGAATACTTTTATTTTCAAGAGGACATAATCCTATCGTTTTTTTAAAATTTGAACTTCGTCCAGCAATAGAATTTCAAACATTTCACTGGATAATAGGTTTGTGACAATTTTTGTCAAACTGACAAAAACATCAATCGACGATTCAACTTTATTAACAATAAAGCAGTTGATGTGGATAGTCAACTTTTCTTTCGATTCGATGAATATGGTTCATTCTGTTTCGGAGAAAGTGGAAAAGTAACGCAGCTTTGTTTAATGAGAGGCAAACAGATAGACACGTACGTGGATTCTTTAGAATTTTAGAAATATTTCTGTAATTTTTTATATCGTTTTTATTACCCGATTTGAATAAGGAGATGATTTTTCCAAACATTCGGAAAGGAACCCTGGTTAAATCAGTTTCGAAATATTATTTTCAGTGGCACAAAAAGGAAAGTGAAACAGTTGAATAACAAGACAGGTGGGATTCCATCTGGACCAGCACTTTCATGAACAGCATGTTAAGCCTAGAGTTCGAAATATTTTTTTTATTCAAGTAATTGAACACATACAAACTCGTTTTTTTTTCAAATTTAATGAGTAGACATATCCGTTTACTAATAGAATAGATTAACAATGATTGTTTTTTGTCGGGATATATATTTTTATACGTTTAACTTTCCTCTTGGAACTAGCTATAATAATAATAGTAATGATGTTTTTTCACCATTTTTTATACACTTGTCATATAAGATTGTATGCAACTTATCATATTTCGTGAAAACCCGAGCATTGGCAGTTTTTTGATGAGAAATTCGGCGCACACTGTATCAAACGCTTTTGATAAGTCGAAAAATAGTGAGATCACATAATTTTTTTATCTATCTCTGTGTGAATATAATTCAGAAGGTGATAGGAAGCTGTCCCTATAGATTTATTTTTCCTGAAACCATGCTGAGACATACATAGCAGCCTACTTGTTTCCAAATAATCCATAACCCTAAGTACTACAACTTTTTCAAATAATTTTGATATCGAGCAAATCAAAGATATTTACCTATAAAAAAACATTCATACCTGAGTTTAATAACTAGGTCAACTAATTATCTCACAATAAAGTGTGAATGTGATCAATATCTACGATAATGTATTTTGAAAAACAAGTATCGGCCAACTCTATCTTATATTTTAAAGTTAATAAATATAACAGTCTATTAAATAAATATAATAAAATATATTTCATAAATACAAAACAAAGTAACCTTCACAAGAAACAGAACACACTACGCCTATGCAGATAAGGACGCTTGATAATGAAGAAACCGAAAGACTAGTTATGGCATTTTAAGGACGCAAATATAATAGACCTGCGAAGTGTTGATCAGTTTACCGATGTTTCAAAGTATTCAACGAACTGGTTCACCTATTCGCTCGTACATCCTATCGATATGCAGAAGCTATCTTGTTACGGGGACAAATTTTATGGAATCATCTTACTTTTCAATTATTTACACTGGCGATGCATAGACAATAAAAATGACCCAGGTAAGAATTTAGTTCTAACATTTGCCGTTAGCTCTCAATTTGTATATGAGTTACCTTCAATTGAAAATTGTTATAGTATATAGTTGTCTCTTTCTGAGGGATTTCCTTTTTGAAATGCAGGTATAACGAATGTTTTTTTCAGAACTTCTGGAAAGTATCCCTGAATGAGAGATTGATTCAAAGGTACAATAAAAGAAAGTATTATCTTCTTAATTGACAGTTCATCAAAGGCTGCGGTTTTTCATTTCTGATAGGGCGTTTTTTATCTCATATCCTTTAACCGGATAGGATTGGAAATGTTCAATAATGGTTATATTTTCAGTAACAGTACAGGGTAAAGACAAGTTTTGCCCGAAGTGATTAGATACGGAATTTTCAGCTGTATTTGAGAAATATTCAACAAATAGTTCAGTTACTTCATCTGAGTCATTTGTAGACCCATCATCATGTTTAAGAGTTATTGGTTTTTTTTTCGAGTTGTTTGTGCTTCTTCCTAATTCTTTATTTATTCTTCCAAGTCTCTCTAGTTTTGTTTTCTGACTGATTGATTTTAGACTTAGTTGATTATATTGTTGAAACACTTCTTACTTTTGGGAAGGGGAAAATACCCCGTTCCCTTTCGTGTATGAAATCTATTTTTTATGCACAACAAACACGTTGTTGTTCATTATCATAATTGAATTGTTCTTTTACTTTTCAGGTTTATGTAAATAATGAGTTGGTGACGACAATAGGCGAAGGTGGTAGTTTTGGCGAACTGGCCCTCATTTACGGTACTCCCAGGGCGGCCACTGTGAAAGCCAAAACGGACGTCAAGTTGTGGGGGATCGATCGGGATTCTTACAGAAGGATTCTCATGGGTTCCACTATAAGAAAAAGAAAAATGTACGAAGAGTTTCTTTCCAGGGTGTCGATATTGGAGAATCTCGATAAATGGGAACGTCTTACGGTGAGTTTCAAATTTAGAATATGCAAGGAATTGGAGAAGACACGTTTGGAAATATATTTTAGGATTTTATTTTTAGCCATCACTTTCATCGCGCAAGGCTTTGTAAATTAACCTTTGTTGGTCATGCGGAAAATATCCAATCAACTCAAATTTGAACTCGGAAAGCTCTATGAGACACTCTAAAGGGAGAATCGATTGTTTTTCAATGCGTGTTTTATTTCTCAATCAATATAATGGGTGTTAGATGTTTATTCAACACTTTACTACATGGACTGAAATGTCCAGGACCTAACACATAGATGGCGCTAGTGTTATTGCATTCACCGCTTTTTCAGTTAGTACTAACCTTCTGCAAGCGTATGCAGATGATCTTGTCATCTTGGCAAGGTCCACGTCGGGAAGGGTAGCTTGTAATATCCTCCAAAGAACGTTGGTGTCTGAGGGAGCAGATGTCTGTCAACTCCAGCAGAACTGAGATAATCCCCTTCACCAGGAGGAAAACATTGGACGATCTAACGCCACTTTTCCTCAATGGTGAGGTCACTCCATTTGGTACGGAGGTGAAATATCTTGGCATTGTCCTTGATAAAAGACTCGCCTGGAACGCTCACTTGGAAAAAGTTTTACACAAAGCCAGACTGTCTCTATGGACATGTCGAAGGATTTGTGGCAAAACTTGCAGTTTAGGTCCCAAACAAATCCATTGGATTTGTGTTATGATTGTCAGAGCAATGATGGTACAATTGCCTGATGGCAATTGGTCTAGATTCCTGGCCATGTTGACCTGGAAGGCAATTAGGCTGCTGACTCCCTTGCAAAGGAGGATGCTGCAAGCAGCTTCATCGGACCAGAACCTATCATTGGCATCGCTTTAGGCTTTCTCAAAAAAACATTGAACACCTGTTTGGCAAGAAAATCTATGGACTTCTGGCAGAATCTTCCAGGATTGGCTCACGGTTGTTGGATTACAGTAGGGATGAACTACAATGTCTAACAGGCTTTTTTACACGTCACTGTCATTTGAATCATCATATGCAGAGACTCGGACTGTCGGAACACAGTGTCTGTCGCCTTTGTTTGGAAAATGATGAAACAGCAGAACATATACTTTGTGTCTGCCCCGCTGGGGACCGAATCAGGTTTTTAGAGTTCGGCAGAACCAGAGCTGAAAGAAAGTGAATTTCTTCCTCTTTTTGGCTGCAAAGCCTTACTGCTAAATTTCAGTGTCATTTCATTTCAGGTAGTTTCAAAAGTTTTTTCCGTTTTGATGAGTCTACTTGAAACTGTTTAATCTCAGTGAATATGTATTCCTTTTAATCGAAATAAGCGTCATTTGAATCAGTGCAGTTTTGCCAACGTAACACAAGTCCATTAAATCCCTCAGCATGAAAATTGTGTACTCGGGATTCGATGAAGTCAACGAAGGCCGTTTTTCACCTGGTCTAAATTGACGAAGGTTGTACCGGTTAGAAAGTTATGGAAGTGCTTGAAAAGATGGCAGTCAGTTGGCCAGAGGTCTGGGAAGTAAGGTGGATGAGGAAGAACTGTAATGCTCAATTCGTTTGATTTTCGGACTGTAATTTGTGAAAGGTGCGGGCGGGCGTTATCGTGGAGCAAGATCGGACCTATTCCGTTGACCAGTGCCGACTGACGCTGTTTTGTCCAGTTACAGACAGTTATAGTTGATTACACCAGCCGCTGACTACCATACAGTAACCGTGATCTATTTTGGTAAGTTTTCGCCTTTGTGAAGTGCCTGGGTGGCTCATCGGTGTCCAACCAGTGTTTTGAACGTCTCCTGTTGTGGTAGAGGATCCAAAAAACGGTCGTTATGCTTGTGAAAAAAAAGAACAGACATCAAAACGTGGCAATTTCTTTCGATCGTTCAAATCGTGTTGCACCCACTTTTTGAGCTTTTTGACCTTTCCAATACGTTTTAAATCATCAAAAGTCGTATGGTGACGCCCAGTTCTTTTGCCATCCCAGGCACCGTTTGTGATGGGTCCAGGGTCCTCAAATCCTTGCTCTGGATTATTGTAGGTCATCCACTTAAGGGCTCATTTTCGAGGCTGATATCTCCAGAACAAAAGTCCACAAGCCAACATCGAACAGTGCATTCATTAACACTATCAATGCCAAATGCAGCGCTTTGGTTCAATTTGAATTCGTAGAGAAAATTGTAATTGTAATAAACCTAATTTATACAGTAAAAAATTATCTATCGATCTTCTGCGAAATGAAACCAGCCTATAAATGTAGCTACTTTTAAGCAGAATAACCCTGCAGAATTGTGCAAAAGTGTTTTTGAAGAAACATCCGTATCTGTAGAGTAGGGAGGGTGAGTGTAAACTCACAGCACTTAGGCCACATGTGACCCATTGTACATCCTCCCGAGGAGTTGTCCTCCTAGGTCATCGTCCATCCTGTTCTTTCCAGGAAGGTGAATAGGTCACTAGGAGACATATTCCTTATATTGGCAGGTGTAGGCCAAGACTCTCCGAACACACACTTTGTTTGGCAACCTTGAGGTGTCTCACGATGGCCTCCGCGAAGGTTTTGGAGTGCAGCGATATTACTGTCGTTACGCGTATTCTTCAACCTTTTTGGGGTTCCCTCCGTGGAGGTGCACACGTGAAGGAGCTTTTCTGCAGAGGCAGCCGGTTTCTTGCCTCTATTCAAGCCGGAGCTCTTGGTTCCAGCTGCAGGCAGTGCCCTTGCTGTTGGAGGTGATCTGCTATGTCCAGCCTCATTCCAAGCGGTAGATTGGGGTGGACATTTCTGTTGGATTGGTTTTTGTTTTTGTGTTGTTTCATTCATGTGTGTTCCCACGAGTAGCAAGAAAAGAGTTGGTCACCTCTGACAGAGCCCTGCATTACCAGAGCTAGGCTGGATACAATTAGGTTTCGGCCAGTTCCCGAAAGGGACCGTTCGTGACCACATATCACCCTGCGACCATTCAGCTGTCGGCACGATTCCTTACACCTTAGCTTGGGTAGGCTGGTCTACGGCGGCATGTTTTACAAAGGCTTTTGGGGAGTTTTAGTTCCCCTCACCCTACTTATTTCTGTCACTGACCAGGAGTCCGGCGACCTCGTCCGTAAAACCACATTGGCTTCCCGGACAGGGCCTACAGTCCCCTGGCCGTTCCCCTATCCGCCACCTGGGGACGCGCCCGATAGGTAGCCTAACCCACGGAAAGAAACATGTGTGAATCCTAGTGCAAGGAATACTCTAAAATTTGAGCAGTAACAATACAAGTATAAACAATTTTTTTTATTCATTTTTATTTTTTGTTCAGGTTGCCGACGCTTTGGAACCCGTCAGTTTCGAAGATGGCGAAACAATCGTACGTCAAGGAGAGCCGGGCGATGATTTTTACATAATCGTAGAAGGTACGGCGATTGTAAAACAGAACAGAATTGAAGGCGAAGAACCAACGGAAGTAGGGCGATTGGGACCAAGCGACTATTTCGGCGAAATCGCCCTTTTGCTGGACAGGCCGCGAGCTGCAACCGTCGTGGCTTGCGGACCGCTCAAATGTGTCAAACTGGACAGGGCAAGGTGAGATACATCATTATTAGTGTTTATGTTACAAGTAAATACATATTCTAAGCCGTTACGCGGGTCAAGGGTACCTAAAACAGTTATCTAGCTCGAAGGACCACTAATGTTCAAGAACTTCCTAAAAGTGTATGCACGAGTCGAGTTACGAACAAGTAGTGACATTTGACAAACTTTCCGTTAATGTCATTCAACAATTCCTGAGCGATGCTCATGCGATGGTTTTTTTAGTCGACATTCAGCAATTTTGCAGCCATAAACTTCGTGCCCAAAATATCCGAAAAGTTACATGGCATGAGCCAACCGATATGCCGACATCCTCAACAACTTCTCTAACAGTGATTCGACGATCCTCCATAAAAATTTTCTTCACTTTCTTAACATTTTAATTTTTTCATCTGTTGTTGATGTGCTGATGCGTCCAGGGCGAGAGTCGTCATTCACATCTTCTCGAACTTCTGTGAAAAGCTTATATCACTTGTAAATATTTTTCTGAGTCAGGGTACAATCATTGTATGCCACTGTCAACATTAAAAGTTTTGTTGAGACTCGATTTCATTTTTTGCACAAAATTTCATGCAAATTCTTTGATCCATTTTTAAGATAGCAAAAAATTGCCGAACACGTAAAACACCAGTCAACTAAACGTGCTAAACAGCTGAAAATGTGAACATGTGTTCGAGACGAGTGTACGAACATAAAAAAACTTACTAATCGAATGTCTAGGACCGTTAAATCCAAATATTTTGACGATCGTCTGTATGCGCCTTGAAAGCTCTATAATTTATTTATTTTATATACAAACTCTAGAGACTGTGGCCCACTTACAGAGTATGAAAGGTAAATATCACAAATAGTTTTGTACATACAACAAAATGACAAAAAAGTTGTTAAAAAAATATTCAACAATAGTTATACAATTTTATACAATCTATTTCTAAAACTAGTAAGATTTTGGAAGAAGATATCACAGGCATTATGTACATTATTATAGGCATTGCACATAGCATTTAATGGAGCATTTTGATAATAATTTGTTTTTGCCGATTCAATATAAAATGTGCGAAACCATCTAGTTTCATAAGCAGGTACATTGAAATAGATTTTTGATAGAAGACAGGTACCATCCACTTCACTATGTATCATCTTGTACAAGTATATTAACCATGCAAATACTCTTTTTTTTCTCGAGGGTTTGTATGTTGTACTTTTCAAATAGCACTACTTTGGAAATATCAAGGTCATAGTTACCTATTTCGTTGAAGTGACAATTATATTGAGGACACCAGATAATGGAAGCATTTTTCAAAATGCTTCTAATAAAAGTGATATACAAATATTTGTTGCAGGTAATAATTCTAATAATAATAATACGTTTATTATTTACCACAAATCCACAAACAATATTAAGTTTCAATAAAATAAAAAACTAAGTTAATAAAACGTGAGAGTTCAGTCTTCCACTCAGACCCTTACTACAAACTAAACTTAAAACAAAAATTTACTTACTGACTAGTACCAGTAAACAAGAAGACGAGAGAAAAGCAAGAGAAAAAAAAGATAAAAATGAGAGAGAGAGAGAGAAGATAGGAACCCAATGATTCCTTTAGGTCATGAAACTGCTAGGTTGCATGACGACGCAAGACAAGACTGTAAATAAATAAAATAAATAACAAAGGATTCAAGTTGGAACCCTGTGGAACTCAAGACGATGCAATAAATGGACTGGACTTATGCCCTTTCACTATCACACTTTGTTTTCGATTAGATAGATATGAACTGAAAAATTTCAGCTATAAATTGGATAACATTACTAAGATTACTAACAGTGGATCTTTTTTTCATGAAGCCATGTTGGAACTGTGATATTTTAGGAGAAACTGATCTATATAGATGCTTGACAATGACAGTTTCGAAAAGTTTGGCTGGTGCTGATAACACTACCACCGACCTGTAATTGATAATATCGGTTTTGTCACCTTCTTTGAAGACTGGAATAACAACAGTGGTACATTATCGTTTAGGTCGACTTATCGTTCAATATAAATTTTTTATTATAATTTTTTTTCAAATTACATTGTATATTCAGATATATATGTATTAATTTTTATTTTTGTTTTCAGATTCGAGAGGGTTTTGGGACTCTGTGCGGACATACTGAAAAGGAACATAACACAATACAACAGCTACGTGTCCCTTTCCGTTTAATACTTAACACCTTGACGTGAACCGAAAACGTTCAGCCAAATTGAAAGTCTTGATTTTTCGTATAGAAACTGAATATTTCGTTTCAAAAACTGAACATTTCATTTTAATATTTATCCGCTATTTATTTATTTTTTGGGAAGCGATACCGAAATATTATTTTAGGCGGCAAAATACTTTTTGTACGTTCCGCCATCTCTGCCCTTTCTAACGAAAGAATGATTGTATTCGGTAGCGCTTCCGAAGCTTTCATTAAGTCTATGATTACATAACAATATTAACGATGCATTATGTAATCCGGCCCTTTTCTGTTAGTCTTCAGCACCAAGTGGAAGGCGAATTGCCAGTAATGTTGTGTTGGCTAAAGAGTCTCTACCTACTCAGGGATGCAAAAATGGATTTTCGGTCAGAGTGTTCTGTGGTATGACAAATACTAAAATCAAATTCGTTATGTTCAGAATCTGCGATTGAGACATGTTTTCACATGAGCAGCAGTTTGTCGTTTTTTGTCGATATTTTTCAGTTTATCATTTGATATTTTTGATTTCCTGATTTGACTTGCTGAGTTGGAATTTGAACTGAAACCTAAATTAACCTTAATCTCACCATTATTGAAAGAACTGATTCGGAAATTCCTGATTCTAACCTATAAATTTGTAGAACTGACTAAGAATGTCGAATAAACATTTTAACCTAGTTAACTTACATAGCTTATTCCTATTTATAACCTAATGAAAATTTGATAGTTTTCATCGCAAAAAAGCTTGGTAATTATTATCTCAGAATTTACTAATTTTCGTTTTAGGCCGAGGAAAGTATGTCTTGAAATTATTCAAACCACCAGGTGAATTATTTTCCACCCAATAATCAAAAATGCTGACTTACTGTCATTGTATTGACCTAGTTGGACTCACGAATAAATAAAAAATGTATTGATTCTGGTTCATTGAGTGGAAAATATTTTCTACTTTCATGGTGAAAAATTTTCTGTCAAACCAAAAAAGACTATCTGGAAATTTCTATAATCCAATTTAAATAAATGAATAAAAATACCAACTAAAACTAACCCAACAATAGCGCCTCTTTCAAATTTTAAATTGATTCGGAAAGTAAGAATTTTGACGTACAATCTCTAAGTTGATGTGCAAATCCTGACTTTTTTTGCTTCACATGGCCTAGCGTGAAAAAATCCTGACTTATTTTCCCAATACGGGCTGGTTTGAATCAATTTTTCAATTACAATCTAAAAATGAAGTGAGTTTTGACGTGTTTACGTGACCAGTAAAAATTCTTTCTTTTACTCCCCAAGACTGATTGTAACTTAACTATTGAAATGTCCATTATTAGAGATCATTCAATTATTACATGACTAGAATTTTATTCAGTTAATTTTACCGAATAAATCAAAATTATTACTTACTCCTCAAACTGATTTACTCAATTAGAGACTCGTCAAATGAAATATTTGTTAATTAAAATCTATCATAATAATTCCAATGTCACTTGAATGTTAGATCACTATAATTGACTTACTGTTTCAAATTTGGATAAATTTTAAAATAGTGAGCCAAGGTTGTGATTCACTGGCTTTGAGTTACCCAAAAATTTTTAAGTCTTTTTTTATCACTTAACAAAATGAATCAATTTCGTTACTTTCTCCTCAAACTGAAAGTCCTGACACTGGGTATAAATTCTAACTGGCTCAATATATTCAATAAAGATCCAGAACAAGTACCTATAAAAGAATTCAACTTCACCAAATAGATCAAAATTGTTACTTACTCCTTAAACTGATAATCCTGACTTAGTGGGTATAAATTCTGACTCGCTCTCGGTTATGCTGACTGATTGAAAATTGCGGCTTATATCCTGTGACTTACTTGATAAAAGACTTGACAAATAACATATTCGTTGAATAAAACCAATAATTCCGGCTGTAGTTGAAAATTAGATCAGAATATTTGACTTACTGTATCAAATTTGAATTAATTTTAAAATAGTATGTCGGATTCTGATTGACTGGCGAAGAATTATTCAATATTTTTGTTTTTTTTTTTTCATTACTCAACCAAGTAAATCAAATTTGTTTCTTCCTCCTTAAACTGAAAGTGCTGACTTACTGGGTATAAATTCTGACTTGCTATCACTTATGCTGACTGATTACAAATGACGGCTTATATCCTGGGACTTACTTAATTAGAGACTTGTCAAATTGAATATTTGTTGATAAATATCTTTCATAATATTTCCGACTTCAGTATATTTGATTCACTGTATTAACTTTGAATCAGTTTTAAAATTGTAAGCCAAAATTCTGATTTACTGGATAAGAATTGCTCAAAATGTTTTATTCTCGTTACTGAAATAGTTTTTTTTGTTTTTGTAAAAAAATATTTGCATTGTACAAAATTGATTGAAAGATCGATTCCCCATATTTCTTGTAATAGTCCCCTCGTAAGTTTCCGCCAGAAGATGCAGAGAAATATGAACAAGTTCTGGAATAATCAACTTCTCCCATATCTCTATCCAATTCAGTTTCAAACAGTTCAGATTTGAATTCCTTAACCTGCTGGTCCAATAATGGGGAGAATCATTGCATCCGTGATTACTTGGAAGAAGACAGCAGTGGCGAACGTATCGTCAACAGCTACGACTAAATCAGACCAGAGATACATTCTTCAATTGAAATCTTTGAGCTTAATGGGCTGAAAAATATTGGCAACAGTTTCACGAACAGTATAATCTAATGTTCACCAAATACGAGATGGTTACTGGAATATTTAAAAAAGGATGAATACATGAAAGATATCGATACTAGTATTTCTAGTATGGAGAGTGCTTTAATTAAAGCATTTGCAGAAGTTATCAAGGAATTGTGGTCAGAAGATTCATCCGATAAAGTAGTGAACACAGTCTCTTTTTAAAAAGTCAGATTCAGAGTTTTGCCCCTCGATTCATGGGTCATGCGCATCAAGACGCCCAGGGGTATCTTCGTTATCTTTTGAAAGGTATGCATGAGGAAGTTGATAGAATTGACGGAAAATTGGGCGACAGGAAAAAAGCACCCGGCTCGAATATTTGAGAAGGGACAAGTCAAAAATTGTAGATAATTTCATTGGTCAGGTGCACACACTGTGGACACTCATCAGTAACCTTCGATTCTTTCTGGGATCTGTCTCTCCCCAAGCCACAAATAACTGGCCAACTGAGATTGTCGCAATGCTTGGATTCCTTCACAAGAGAGGAAATTCTGGATGGAGATGAAAAACCGACGTGTTCAAGGTGCAAGAAAAGAAGACAATGCACAAAGTCCCTATTAATCCATAAGTTTTCCCGTATTTTACCGATTTATTAGGAAAGATTATCTCCAACAGAAAGATTCAGAGGCAAATTAAATACTACCATCGACTTTCCTCTAGAAGGATTAGATATGAGCAATTATGCAGCAGACAATGTGGCTCCTTGTCGTTACAATCTATATGCACTTTCGATTCCCAGTGGGACTACTCACAGCCGGCATTACACAGCATACTGCAGACACATCTACGCTGGTACTTGGCACGAATATAACGATTTTCACGTGTAACTAAAATTCCTTGTAAGTGGAGAGACATTTGTCCTCGTTAAGGAATAGGAGCAAAGAATGCTAAGCCCATAGACGCTCATAAGTAGGATTTTAGTGTACCCTAAAATTTATAGTACCTACTCTGACCACCAGAGATCGATGGCAGTACCATGTCGGTATTTATTGTGGTTACCAACAGAATTGGGTAGTAGTCGCTGGAAACCAGTCGGCCGGATCATACCAAAGTGGGGATGTACGCCAAAATTAAATAAAAAGGCCGACTGGTTTGTCTGCGACTGCCATCGCTCTCTGGTGGTCAGAGTAGGTACTATAAATTCCGAGCCGATAGAAAAAAGTGCCTTGCTCAAATATTTGAGAATGGACAACACTAAGATTGTAGATAGTTTTGTTGGTCAATTGAAATGCACGATGAAGTGCACACACACACACTGTGGACACTCATCAGTAACCTTGCATCCTTTCTGGGATCTGTCTCTACCCATGCCACAAATAACTGGCCAACTGAGATTGTCGAAATGCTTGGATTCCTTCACAAGAGACGAAATTCTGGATGGAGATGAAAAACCGACGTGTTCAAGGTGCATGAAAAGAATGCACAAAATCCCTATCAATCCATAAGTTTCCCCGTATTTTAGTCATTCATTTTTCAAGATTCTCCCTAACGGAAAGATTCAGAAGCAAGACTTTGCTCTGGAAGAATTAGGTATGGGCCATTATGCAGCAGACAATGTGGCTCCTTGTCGTTACAATCTATATGCACTTTCGAATCACAGTGGGACTACTTGCAGCGGGCATTACACAGCATACTGCAGACACCTCTACACTGGCACGTGGCGTGAATACAACGATTCTCACGTGTAACTAAAATTGCTTGTACTTGTACATTGTACTGCCATCGCTTTCTGGTGGTCACGGTAGGTACTATAAATTTCAGGATACATTAAAATCGTACTTATGAGCTTCTATGGGCGTTGTATTTTTTGACAGAAGGGAACGAAGTCGCACCTTTGAGGTGTTATAGATTTTGCTTCCCAATTGGATTTTTTTCATAGTTCTAATGCAATGCAAATTCAATTTCTATTACTTTGGCTTTTGGAAGATACCCAGTAGCTTATTGGTCTTTGGAGTGGAATGGTTTTTGGAAATCTCCCTCAGACTAGTTCGACCCATGAATAGTGCTTTGATTCTTCTAGAAGTAAATTGAACCTCATTGATCTGAAGTGATAAACGACCTCTAAATGAGACTTTCAAAGTACAATATTTTTTAATGAGTAATTTATGAAATCGCAACTAAATACTCTGGCTGATCGTGACTAACCAATTGAAATATTTGTCCATTTTCATGTCCTGTGTCAGAATTTTGACTGAGCAATTTATCATCTGATGAATCAAATGTTTGATGTACTGTGTTGAATTTGTCATGGTATCCGATTTAGAATTAATATGCAAAGATGGTACATGAATAGTTACATTAAAAAACGGCAATTTTTCATTTATTTATTCTTTTGAAATAGCAACTATACACTCTGTACTGATATTTTCTTTTGTGGATTGTATTGAGCATTCATTTCTGGTAGAATAACCCAACGGTGGGTAGAGACTGTCTTCGAATTTACTGATGTTTCATGGGTTATATTGTGGTGGTAACCTTTTCTACTTGTTGCGGGATTACTGAATGTTCCCAGATTGTATATACTTGAATATCTTCCATTAAAACTATATCTTAGTTATTTCTTGTTTTGATAACTTCTCCCTTATCCACAGTTTTCGAATGGAAAGAAGCGTCATCACTGTTATATTTTGGACTAAATCCATATATATTTCCGCGGTCGAATTCCGGGTGGTGGAACATGAAGATTAATTCGACTGGTCAAAAATGTACTATCCACAAGTCCATTTAAAATTTTGCTCAAATAGAACAAATTACCCAAATTGTTAAATAGTATAACAAAAAAGCTATCATGGGATTGCAGCAACATGGATTTCGTCATGGTAGATCTACCAGTGCAAATCAGCCTATTCATCAACACTTCGTAATTAATGCCACAGAATACAAATTTTAATTCATTACTGCCATAGGTCTTTCAGAAAGCACTAGACATGTATTTGTGTGTGGTATACCATCCTATGTGTTCAAAATATATTTGTCAGGTATATTCAAGAAATATTTTTGATGAATAGTGGAAAAAGTGAATATTACTGGAGTTTCATGTACACCAAACATATATTTTCAACACCTTGACACGTGTTTCGATCACCAAGTGATCATCTTCAAGAGGAAGTGAACTATACTAATTGTCAATTCGAATACCTCATATTCCATTGAGTAAGATATTCGATTATTTAACAGAATCAAGCACATTACAATCCAACATTTTTATTTTTCTTTCATAACCTACAATATATATCGATATATGAACCAGTGATGGGATCATTCGAATTAAAAATAATCGGTCATTCGATTATTCAGTGCAGTGCCGGCCTATATACCGACAATTGTTTGTAGGATGTGGTGAAATACAGGTTTGGGCTGAGAATGTTCAGAAATTTGTTGACGATAACATTTATTGAAAATTAATGGTGGCTTGTTAAAATATATTGAAAACATAAACCAAAAATTAAAGTCCTCACAAAAGTGAAAATCAATTATATGTCGGTTTAAATTGGTAGTGTTAGGTACTAAAAAACTTGCAAATTTGACACTGAACTTGACCATTTTCCTTTTTGTCGAAATGTTCCCAAACAATAGATTTCCTAGCTCCAGGCCGCATTGTTCAATATAAAAACAGTAATAATAACGGAATAAAGGTATCAACTACACAATAAGTAGGAGTAGAAAAAATAATGGAATTTATGAGTAATAACAGAAATTTCGTTACAATGGCTTCGAATCTTCCAAACTGAAAAATTATTGCCACTGTTTCAATTTCAATGTTCTCTGTTTGTATTCTTAGTGCGACAAATTCAAACAATCCTAACTCATAAAATAATCCACTTCATTCCTAATTTCGCAATTATTGTAGGCGTTTCACATGGCACATGACCTCATGAGCATCGAGTGATTGCGTGCTTATTGCTCGCATCGACGGATCTCGAATTAAATCGATGAATGACGAGTGACGTAGTATCCGAGTGATTTCATTCGAATGATATTTCGATTTTTGGGATCATTCGAGTACTCATCATTCGATTCTCAGAATCATTCGATTATGCCCATCACTAATATGAACATATAAAAGTCAAAGTATTACTTTACAAAAATCGATTGTACCATCATCTTCCTGCATAGACTCTTGAGAAATATTTGCACTTCCATCTCCATTTTCACTCACTGCTAAATGATCATTTCGGTGTAAATAACCCACATTAAACATTTAAAACCAAAGATCGTCTGCATCATAATCTTCCTGCATAGGCTCTTGAGGAGTATTGGAAACTTCATCGTCACTTTCACTCAATGCTAAATCATCATATAACTTCATTGCGGTTTCATGATGTGATTCTTCAACTGCTCGTAAAGGCAGATCGGACAACCGAACAACTGGAACAGTTCGTCTCCTTTTCGCCAATCCCTCACAGTGTGAATCAGAGATTTCCCGCGGTCTCTTCTTATTGCACAGATCGTTTCTAGGCACTTTTAGCATTGAACCTTCATGTTTTATCTCTTCATCACCAGTGTTGAGTTGATTTGCAATACATCTCTCTTGATTATCTGTCATAGCAACATTTATAGCAGTACTCATGCCTGTTAACCCACATTTTGAGTCAGTCATGTGTTTAGTCTTCCTTGATGACTTGGGGAGCGAGGGAGTTGTACTTTTGCTCGACGTAGGTGTGACACGAGCAGAGTTTGCAGACGGTAAACTAACAATTGGTGTAGTCTGCACATGACCACCAGCCGTTCCCTTCTTTTCTTGAATTTTCTTAATCCTTCTTAATTTATCTTGAATCCTACGTTTTTCTTTCTTCAATTCCTCTTTTTCAGCTTCATTTGAAGAAGAAAATTGTCGGATGAAAGCTTCATCTTTTGACTTACGGATTTTAACGTAAGCGTCTATCACAGCTTGGTTTCGAACGATTTCTTGTCTATGGTACTCCTCGCCTTCACGGGTTTTGAGTGTACGAACTATTCTCAATACTCGGCCTTGCGGGTAACGTTGGCCATCATTTACTTCTGTACATTTCTTCTTATCTTCTGGTCTATCTTTAGCGCCCTCCATCATTTTTATCAATTTTTGTCTTTCTAGCTCTTCTCGCTCTAGCGTAAGGTGCGTGCTTGTGTTCTTGTTATTTAACATATTTTCAATAATTTTGCCCATTTCCTCGATATCTTCATCACTTCCATCCTCCGAACTCTCTTCCTCGTCAGTACTCAGTACGTCAGCACTTGCTAAAACTCGATTTTGCAAGTCAAATATGCATTGACATTCTTTTTTGTACCTTTCTTGATTTTCAGCTATAGAAAGTCTGTTACATCTGGAAAATTTGTCCATTCCCTCTCCCCCAGCTTTAGCTTTTTCTGTAGAAAGTGTTCTCACCACATCAACAATTTCCCAACGTGTGAGCTCTTTAATATCTTCTTCTGAAACTCCAAAATTTCTCAACAAGGCTTTGGCGTTGTTTAGAGACAACTTTCTTAAATCTGAATCGGTTCCAGTTACAGCCCTTTTTGGTTGAGATTCATGTTCTTTATTCTGAGTTGGCTTATTGGAGATTCTGACATAGCTGAAACCCTCCCCACAACCTGTAGGATCAGCAGGTCCAGTCAACTGAAGGAGACACTTGCCCTTCACAGCCTGAATATATGCTCGAGTAGTGTTCCAAGGTGCAACTTTAACTTCATCTTCCATTTTCAATTGTATTTCTTCATCATCATCTTCCGCGGGAGTGAATTTTTCGGCATAGCCAGCATCCTTCAAACGTTGCTTTGCAGCTATCATACTAAAGTATGCACAACAACGTTCAGGAGATACCATAGCTCTAATTTCTTCTTCGGTTGGTAGTCTGAATTCTGATTTGATAACCCACCATTTCGAATCCAAGCCTGTCCTTTTGAAGTCAGCACAAAGCTTCAATCTTTTCCTAATGCTGTTCTCGGAATAATAGGGAAAGGCTCTTTTAATATCGTCCATTTTTATTTTTCTAGGGTTATCTTTGCTTCTCCAGAATAAACGATATATAAAAACCTGAAGAAAGTCCCTAACAAAATCATTTGCCCTTTTGGAGTTTGGCGCTGGCACTTCATACAAAGGGCATTGCTGGCCAGCAAGATATATCGAATCCATTTCCCGAATATAATACTGCCGTCGAGTTCTTATGACTATGAAATCAGATTCTGGAATATTATGTTCATAAACTGGAGCCCGATACATGTTGTTTTCTATAGCTTGGATGGACTGACCCGGGAGCAATACACCTAAAAACGGAGAAGTACGAGCATAGACAGTCTCTCCGTATCTATATGTAGGAGGACCAGAGTCTTTCCCAGCTTTCCTCTTATAATAGTTTTTGATTATGGAACACATTCCAACTTGATTCATTAATGGGGGATATTCCTCACAAAATTCTAGCAAAATCAATTCACCATCTCGACCAGTCAAGTCTTCAGGAGTCCTCATAGAGAACACATCGACACCTCCGAAAGCTTTTTTCTCAGCTTCTCTTTCCTTCGCTTTTTTCTTGATATGCCCCATCAGAGGCATAGCTTATTCATTAGGAGTTTCATCATCAGCATCATAATCTTCATTTATGCAGCCTGCCTCCTCGTTTGCAAGTTCAGTCATATCAAAGAAATCTTCAGCTAATGGTACCTCAACATCAGAACCAGAATAATTTCCGCTTTTTCCTGAATAAGTACTTCTGCTGAAATGTTCTTGACTGTCTTGTGACCTATATATTTCGGAAGATAAGCTGCCTTGTAAACCAAAGTTTTCAACCCCAGCACCAGTTTGTTTGTGTGTGACATCATAGGTTTCGAAGTCACTTTCAATTTTTTCTGTTAATGTTTCATCGCTCAATATGTCTTTGATAAAAGAACCCAAACCCAACTTCCCAAGAGAAGCAAGCTGTTTTCGTTCATTGGAATCGAATAACTCATTTTCAAAATTTCCTGCCTCGTCAATATTTCCAAACAAAAATCCAGTAAGGATGGAACTTTCATCTTCAGTGTCCACACTCATATTTACAGAAACTATTATAACATTCACTGACACTTTATCTTCTCAACTGAACGACTAATTGCAAACAATCCAAATATATAGCAGAATTAGGTAAAATAACAGGTAACATAACAGGTACAATTTTTCTATATGCTTAATGAATAGGCACAATTCAGGTACTATCTCAGGTGATTCTGTTGACAGTTTAATTGAACTTGCAATTACCAAAAATTTTATTTTTGGTAATTATTATTTGGTAAAATTTCATTTTTGGTACTTATGGTATGAACTGTAGTTCATAGTTTTGTGACTTCGCACATGACATCAGAATTAGGAATACATAACTTCTGATTACTCAGAATTGATATTTGGAAGATATATATCGCTGAAATTATTTGAAAGCTATCTCTCTGATAGGAAACAGTGCGTTGATATAAATGAAACACTTAGTTCTTACCGTACCATAGAATATGGAGTCCCCCAAGGAACGGTATTGGGGCCTCTCCTATTTAATATCTACTTGAATGATTTGTTTAGGGTCAATTCAGAAGGTACCATTATTAGTTTCGCTGATGACACAGCCGTACTATATCGCGCTGAAACTTGGAATGAATTGAAGGACAAGGTTGAGGGAGATTTTATAAAAATTGTCAGTTGGTTTAAGAGCAGGTTGCTGACAATTAACACAAAAAAAACTCACTTTGTACCTTTCTCTTATTTCAACAACAAATTGCCAAATTATACCTCGTTGGAAATCGATAATGACAATGACACAATGACTATAAATATGAAAGAACATATAAAATATCTTGGCATAATAATAGATAAAAATGTAAGATGGAGTAAGCACGCAGAATATGTTGCGAATAAAATAAGGTTTCTACTGAACAAATTTAAGTTTTTCAAAAAGATTTTTGACATAGCACAGCTACGAACATTATATTTCAGTCTAGTACAGTCCCATATCAACTATGGAATAATTGTGTGGGGAGGTATTACTGATAATCATCTCAGGGTTATAAATGTCACTCAAAAATTTCTCATTAAAATTATTGTCAATAGAGATTATACCTATCCGTCTGAAATACTTTTCGCAGAATCTAAATTTTTTACATGTAGACATCTATATTTTCAAAGCCTCGCTATGTATCATTGGAAATATGAAACAAAATTATTGTCTGTGGATCACTTGCACGATACCAGATTCAAGCACAAAACCTCAAGAATTCCTAAAGTAAGTACACCTCGAAGTCAAAGATTTCTCACATACTTGTGCCCTATTGCCTATGCAGAAGTTCCATTCGAAATTGAGTCTATTACAAGTGATAACAGATTTAAAAAAGAACTGAAATTATGGCTAACGAATATAATCAAAGGATATATTATGGATGAAGTAATGGATGTGTGGGGTATCCCATTCCATATTTTTAAAGTATATTCAAGAGATATTTGAGAAAAGAGTTGAGGAAGGATGAAAGTGGAAACAATTCATAAAATTTGCTCTGGTAAATTTAACGTTCAATATAAAGAATCGAAGTTACAGTTTATGAAGTGAAGAACAACAAAAGCTGATAAATATATGGTGGTACAATGGTTGATCGCGTTGGAACGTTTAAGTCAACTGCTCACTACAATAACTGAAGTTTTGATAAAAAACATGATTATTTTGTAGTGGTCTTCAAACAAGAATGGAAAATGTGTTAATTGCGTTGCACTTTCTTTAGTTATCTTATGAATGTCCTTGCAGAACATTTTCATATTCAGAAATATGATCTGAATTGAATACCAATAAGAAGTCTGATATTGTTTTGGGCGTAATTTGTGTATAATGTAGGTGAGTCAAATGCAATAAATTAGAACACTGAAGGTGCTTTGCTCACAATGCACTTCTTCATGTTACAAATCCCTCCAGAATTAAATTTCCCATGACCTTTCAACATAGTTAAATTATCTTTATATATGTAGCCAAATATTTACACTTTACATGATAACTTTCACCACATCCATCTTGATACCTTCAATACACCTGAAAAGTGAATTAAATCTGTATTTGTCTTTCTTTGATATAATAACAGAAGGATGACTAATCAACTTTCATCTCGACAGCTCCAAATTACTAATTGAATGATTCTAGAAATAATTTCCATACAGTATCAATTCACTTTTCTAAGCAATTGAAGTTGTCGATATCAAAAATCGTATTGAATGTGAGCTCTATGAAGAAGTAAATAAACTACAATTTTTGAAAATATTTATATTTAATGAAAAAAGTACAGTACATCTTAGATCTATCAGTCGAACCCAAATATCTTATATATAAATACAACTATAAGATATAAGCCAATAATGAGACAGATCAATTCATTCTCAAAGCTGTCCTATAAATGTATTACGAAAATATTTGCAAAACTAATTGAAAAAATACGGTCATTCCTACTTCTTATCCTCTCCGGTTTGGTTTCCCGACTGTTCATGGGAAATTGGAATCACTTTTTCATTAGCCTCTTGAATCTTTTTGGGTGCTGTGATAGTGAGCACCCCATCGGAGGATAAACTAGATACGGCATTTTGCAGATCGTGTCCCCTCGGCAGAACAAATCTCCTAATCAAATGCTTGGAAATAAACCCTTTGTCTTCTCCATGTTTCTCTTCGTGTTTTGCTTCTATCTGAATTGCGTTGCCGTTCAAAGTTTTCACTACAATTTCCTCCGGCTTGAAATCCTGCACATCCAACTTTACCTGGAATTTTTCTTTATCCTGGATTACCGCATCCCTTTGAGACAGATCCTCTTCCAAGTTGATGGTGTACCGCGGCCTGTTCAATGCCGAAAATGTCGACGGGTGGAACATCTCCTCTGCCAGCTTCATCTGATGTTCCATCATCCTCAATGGTCTCAACACATCACGAAAGAAATACGGAAATAGAGACATTTTGTTATTATCACTTCAATTTACCTCAAATCAATACGAAAATCTGAAGTTTCAAACTGACGAAATTATCAAGTTGCCGCGTATTTATACAATCTCATTGGATGAAATTGCGCATGCTTGTTTCTAGAATTCTCCGGAATGTGTTCACTACTCATTCTTTAAATAGGTCTCTAGATTATTCCAGAATTAAAAAAAAATTCTACAAGGTTCTAGATTGCAGAAAGTAATATTTGAATTGGTTATATTGAAATTGATCCTACAAACTTCAGAAGAGACTTGAACATTCTTGAAATAACAAAAACAGTTGTCACTTCCACTTTTATTGTCAAATCCTCACGTTTCTTTATTATGGGCAATGTTGCCAGGTCAATTTTTATTCTTGCAAAAAAAAGACATCAGGACGTCTGGTGGAGACGAGGTGTCTTTTCCGCGTCTCTCCATGTCTTTCCGTGTCTCTGTACATTTGACCGTTTTTTATAGGAAAGGCGCTGGAAAAACGAACGTCCCTGTCTCGTCTCCGCCCCGACCTCCGGTTTGTGTGAATCAGTACTCAGAACGAGCCCTGAAGGTGAGACCAGTACGTCGTATTCAAAAAACACTTTACATTGAGATTTTCACTAAACAGTTTTACAAAAACGCAACACGTGTTTCGCCATACAATGGCGGATATTTAATCAACCGTTGTCAAAGAATACAGTTTTAATCATTTCACGTGATTCACTCGTCGGTTTCTTTTTATTTGGTAAACTTTATATAGTTTATTTGTCATAACTATAGAAATTGTAGACCTGGCAACATTGGATGAACCACTGATGTTAAAATATACCAGAGTTGCCGGATGACATTTTTTTCCAATTTTATTTGAATTTAGATTGGAGCACGGATGGTTTTTTTTGTCATAGAGAAAGAAAAAAATTAATGACAAAGTATGCTAATTGTCAATTCTTATACCTCATATTCCATTGAGTAAGATATTCGATTATTTAACAAAATCAAGCACATTACAATCCAACATTTTTATTTTTCTTTCATAACCTAAAATATATATCGATATATGAACACACAAGTCAAAGTATTACTTTACAAAAATCGCTTGTACCATCATTCTCCTACATAGGCTCTTGAGGAATATTTGCACCTTCATCTCCATTTTCTCTCACTGCTAAATCATCACGGATCTTCACATCGGTGTCATGAATTTTTTCCGAGAGTATAACCTAAATGATTGATCGATATATAAATATATACAAGTCAAATAATTACTTTAGATAACCCACATTGAACATTTAAAAATTTAAAACCAAATGGCGCCTGCATCATAATCTCCCTGCATAGGCTCTTGAGGAATATTGGCAACTTCATCGTCACTTTCACTCAATGCTAAATCTTCAAATATCTTCATTTCGGTGTCATGATGTGAATCTTCCACTTTTTGTAAATGTAGATTGGACAACCGAACAACTGAAACAGTTCGTCTCCATTTCGCAGATCCCTCACAGTGTGAGTCGGAGATTTCCCGCGGTCTCTTCTTATTGTACAGATCGTTTCTAGGCACTTTTAGCATTGAATTTCCATGTTTCATTTCTTCATCATCAGTGTTGAGTTGTTTTCCAATACATATCTTTTGTTTATCTGTCATAGCAACATTCATAGGAGTACTCATGCCAGTTGTGTTCTGATAAAGTGGACAGGCTCTACTTGTTCTCTTATGACCAACATTGCCACAGACCCCACATTTCGAATCAGTTTTGTGTTTAGACTTTCTACTTGACTTGAGGGGCGAGGAAGTTGTACTTTTGCTCGACGTAGGTTTGACAGGAGCAGAAACACATTTAATAGGTTTGGACAGATTTTCCATAGAGTTTGCAGACGGCAAACTAACAACTGGTGTAGTCTGCACATGACCACCAGCCATTCCCACCTTTTCCTGAATTTTCTTAATCCTTTTTAATTTATCTTGTATCTTACGTTTTTCTTTCTTCAATTCCTCTTTTTCAGCTTCATTTAAATTAGCAAATTGTCGGATGAAAGCTTCATCTTTTGACTTGCGGATTTTAACGTAAAAGTCTATCACAGCTTGATTTCGAACGATTTCTTGTCTATGGTACACTTCGCCTTCAGGAGTTTTGAGTGTACGAACTATCCTCAATACTCGGCCTTGAGGGTAACGTTGGCCATAATTTACTTCTTTGAATTTCTTCTTATCTTCTGGTCTTTCTTTATCGCTCTCCATTATTTTTCTTAATTCTTGTCTTTCGTATTCTTCTCGCGTGCTTGTTTTCTTGTTAATTAACATATCTTCAATCTTTTTGCCCATTTCCTCAATATCCTCCGAACTCTCTCCCTCATCAGTACTCAGTACGTCAGCACATGCCAGAACTCGATTTTGTAAGTCAAATATGCGTTGACATTCCTTTTTGTACCTTTCTTGATTTTCATCAGCTATAGTGAGTTTGTTACATCTGGAAAACTTGTCTATTCCCTCTCCCCCAGCTTTAACTTTTTCTGTAGAAAGTGTTCTTAGTACATCAACAATTTCCCAACGTGAGAGTTCTTTATTATCTTCTTCTGGAACTCCAAAATTTCTCACTAAGGCTTTGGATTTGTTTACAGACAGCCTTCCAGTTACAGCCCTTTTAGGTTGAGATTCATGTTCTTTATTCTGAGTTGGCTTATTTGTGACTCTGACATAGCTGAAACCCTCCCCACAACCTGTAGGATCAGCGGGTCCAGTCAACTGAAGGAGACATTTACCATTCACAGCCTGAATATATGCTCGAGTAGTGTTCCAAGGAGCAACTTTAACTTCATCTTCCATTTTCGATTGTATTTCTTCATCATCGTCTTCCGCGGAAGTGAATTTTTCAGCATAGCCAGCATCCTTCAAACGTTGCTTTGCAGCTATCATACTAAAGTATGCACAACATTGTTCGGGAGATACCATAGCTCTAATTTCTTCTTCGGTTGGTAGAGTGAATTCTGATTTGATAACCCACCCTTTCGAATCCATGCTTGTCCTTTTGAAGTTAGCACAAAGCTTCAATCCTTTCCTAATGCTGTATTCGGAATAAGAGGAAAAGACTCTTTTGATATCGTCCAATTTTATTTTTCTAGGGATATCCTTGCTTCTCCAGAATAAACGATATATAAAAACCTGAAGAAAGTCTCTAACAAAATGATTTGCCTTTTTGGAGTTTGGCGCTGGCACTTCATACAAAGGGCATTGCTGGCCAGCAAGATATATTGAATCCATTTCCCGAATATAATACTGCCGTCGAGTTCTTATGACTATGAAGTCAGTTTCTGGAATATTATGTTCATACAGTGGAGCCCGATACATGTTGTTTTCTATAGCCTGGATGGACTGACCCGGGAGCAATACACCTAAAAACGGAGAAGTACGAGCATAGACAGTCTCTCCGTATCTATATGTAGGAGGACCAGAGTCTTTCCCAGCTTTCCTCTTATAATAGTTTTTGATTATGGAACACATTCCAACTTGATTCATTAATGGGGGATATTCCTCACAAAATTCTACCAGAATCAATTCACCATCTCGTCCAGTCAAGTCTTCGGGGGTCCTCATAGAGAACACATCGACACCTCCAATAGCCTTTTTCTCAGCTTCTCGTTCCTTCGCTTTTGTCTTGATATGCTCCATCAGAGGCATAACACCATGAGGGCCAGCCCGAGACAGAGGTCCATGTAAAAATCTTTTCATTGCCGGTCTATGGAAATTCCTCAATGTCATCGAATCCATATGAGTTTGGATAAAAGGAGCCCTCAACTCTAACACAGGTATGGAATGTTGAATCGAATTTGCACCAGCTACCTTAAGCGTTAGAGCTTTTTCTGAATTTATGGGCTGGTAGTATTTGTCATTTGAAATATTGAATGGATCCCTGTCAGGTGACCTCGGAGGCGGGGGGAAAGAATCTTCTTGAAGAACATTTATAACACCTGCTTTTTCTAACAACATCATAGATTTTTTTATGTGAGAAAAGGAGTTCTTATTCTCCACAGAAGTAGCTTGACCTGCGATTTGTTTGAAAGGGTCAATATCATCAGGTATTCCAAAAATAATATTCTCATCATTAGGATCCAGAGTCAAGATTGACGGTTTTGGAATTTTCTTCATGTCATCAGCATCCCAGATAACATCATCTTCCCATCTACCATAAACTAGTTCTTCATTTTCTACAGGAAACATAGAACATCTAGTGTCATCCTGCTCCTGGCCAGGCATCCCAGCTGACGTACCTATTTCACCTGATTGGCTAAAAGGCGGGGCTGTCCTAGTGCCACTACAGGGGATCCATCCCGCCGCATTAGTTTTAGAACTTAAAGTTTGCAACACCTTTCGTTTTATCTCATCTCCGTCCCAAATTACATCATCTTCCCAATTCGTTTGAGAAACCATCAAGAAAGCATCATCTGGATACTGTTGGTCTTGTTTTTTTTCTAATGGCTCATTTTCGTCAGTTATCTCTACCACTGATTCACTGTCTGGCCTGTCTTTCATTTTGAATCCATAATTGAATCCCTCACCTGTTTCCGGTACTCCAAGCATGTCATACCAGAGTTGTGCTGGACCAAACCTCCACCCTGCTGCGTTTGGATCTGAATCATCCTTTTCCTTCATGTTTTGATCATTTCCTGCACTCGTGGCCACTGCAGGCTTCAGAAACTTTTCCTCATCATCACTCATGAGTAGTTCTGGTTTAGGATCTGCATAATCAAACAACCAACCTTTATGTCTAGGTTTTTCAACTCCAGAATTTGAGTCAGTATCACGCAGCTTGCCTTTGTGTTCACGTGCCTCATGTTCTTTCCTCACATTTTCCCAAATTTTGGGTAGACTACTTGGTTTGTCAGGACCAAAAAGCCTGGAAAACCTCAAAACCTTTCCACGGCGAAAATCTGGAAATAGTTCTGTCACATCTATATTACTATATTTAGAAGAAGGAACTGCAGCCAAAGGAGTCTCGAATTTCTTGTTACCATTGTCAGCTTCATAGACAACTACTTGTGAACTGTTTGGTTCTAGCGACACTTTAATAACAGGTATCTTCTGTGTAGGCATGAGCTTGACATATTCATTAGGAGTTTCATCATCAGCATCATAATCTTCATTTATGCAGCCTGCCTCCTCGTTTGCAAGTTCAGTCATATCAAAGAAATCTTCAGCGAATGGTAACTCAACATCAGAACCAGAATGATATCCGCTTTGTCCTGAATAACTACTTCGGCTGGAATGTTCTCGACTAAAACCTCCTTCATTTTGGCTGTCTTGTGACATATATACTTCGGAAGGTAAGCTGCCTTGTAAACCAAAGTTTTCAATCCCAGTACCAGTTTGTTTTATGTGTGTGACATCATAGGTTTCGAAGTCACTTTCAATTTCTTCTTTTAATGTTTCATCGCTCAATATGTCTTCCATAAAGGAACCCAAACCCAACTTCCCAAGAGAAACAAGCTGTTTTCGTTCATTGGAATCAAAAAACTCATTTTCAAAATTTCCTGCCTCATCAATGTTTCCAAACAAAAATCCAGTAAGGATGGAACTTTCATCTTCACTGTCCACACTCATATTTACAGAAACTATCAAAATATTCACAGACACTTTATCGTCTCGACTAAACGACTAATTGCAAAAAATCCAAATATATAGTAGAACTAGGAAAAAAACAGGTAATTTTTTTATATGCTTAATGAAAAGGTAGAATTCCGGAACTATATCTCGAGTGATACTGTTGGCAGTTCATTAATTTAACTTGCAATTGATTATATAAGCATAATATATCGAACTTAAATCTACTTATTTCTGTTTCCTACATATGAGTTTAAAATTATATTTTTGGTAATTATTGTATGAACTTTAGTTCATTGTCTTGGGATTGTCATATTGTTTCCATACAAAGTAAATATAGAAAGTTAAGTCATACAACAAATTGTGTATTATATTGAAAATTTGTAGTCGAATTCCGGGTGGTGGAATTTGCCCATAAACATTCTATAAGGCTTGATTTTGTATTGTAAATTCAATGAACTGGAAATGTGAGGTTTTTAGTTATAAAAACGAATATGTTAGTAAAGTTTATTCAGTGGAGGGCTTTTCCCGTGCCAATGTAATGGTAATTAATTAAATTTGAATTAGCAGGTCTTTTTTATTGACAAAAACTTGGATACGGCCTTGACCAGAGGTTGATTATATTGTACTTTTATCAATCGTATTTCGATTTCAATCACTCTTTTAATAATTCCTATTTGAAACACCTGATATATCGATACAATCTATTCCGTTCGATTGTTTTTTGATCCAACAAAATATTTAACAGGGGTTTTTATTTGAATTCTCAACATACGGGGAAATTTTAAAAATGAAATCGATTTGAGTGCGATACAAACTAGATCTTGAAGTGTCGTGAGATTTTTAAGGAAAAAGTAAATTTTCAATTCCGAGCATTTTTTATCACAATTCTAAAAGAAGAGTCATTTCATGCTTTGTTCGTTTTTTTATCTATTTCCCAAATATATTTGATGTTTAGTTTTGAAATTAAAAACATTCGGAACGACTGGATTGGAAAAGAAATAAGATACGCGCTGGTGATTCTATTGTATAGTATAGACTAATGTGTGCATTATTCTTTTGTTGAAATAAGTTTTCTTCAACACTGCTTCTCCTAAAACTCCTTGATCCATCCCTACTTTGCCATAATAGTTTCCCTGAAGCAGTTGGATCCAACAGCAAAAAACGAGAAAGGGGTAAGTCTCAATCCTGGGTTTATTTAACCATCACTGAGTTATTATTCAATGTATTCTGTGTTTTGAGTTTATCATATCCATTACAGAACATAACATTTGGTCCATTATTGGCTCCTGGTAATTCATTGCTAAAGAGAAACATTATTAAAAAAAATGGACCTGGATGAATTATTACTTGTATATTAGAAATTGTCAATAATACTACTCAGCAGTGAAAAATAGCTCGACAGGAAAATGGACCTTTAAAAGAAATCCAGGATTATTTGGAGTTTATCGTTGCTTAGAAATTATTTACTTTCACTTTCAATAAGATTTATATGATTTGATAAACTTACACAAGTTCAGTCATTGTGAATATGTAAATAACTTTACTAATGAGCACATTATTTGTTTGAGTATATTCTGCATCTATTATTGTGTTGCACATTCCTCTCCTTGTCTTTTTTTAAAGACTGGCGACCTTGCTTACAAATAGCAAAAAATCATCACTCTTATCTAGAAACCCATAACCCGCTTCCGACTTTTAGAGTAGCTAGGCTGTGACAAAAAAATATTTGAAATTTCAAGTCATAACGTATCATATAAAATATCATTCACGTGATATTCAAGAGAATCACATTTCATTATTGCATAAACTAAACCCTTCGGGTATTCAAGAAAACATTCCGAAATGGATGGAAAAGTATCTTGCCTACCAGAGTCCGATATGTAGAATATGGTAACTCAACACCTCCCACAATCGCAGTTCCATCTGATGTACCCCAGGGATCTCATTTAGGACAATTACTTTTTAACCTATTTGTAAATAACTTGAATGATGTTATTCTCTATAATGAATTTCTTCTGTTTGCGGATGATCTGAAGATGTTCATGACTTATCTGATACAGAATTATTGCAGTACGATTTATCTAACTTTGTACATTGGTGTGATATAAACTTATTGCAAATGAATATAGACAAATGTCATAAATTTACTTTTTTCCGAAACAAAAATCCCATAAATAGTCCATATAAAATCAAGCAATCCGAACTGGACACAACAAATACAATCAAAAATTTAGGAATTATTCAGACCCGATATTGCAAATGTTACTTCTAGAGCACTAAAAATGTTAGGTAACAATTTTTTGTATTCTTAATGAATATGTAGAATTCAGGTACTAACTCTCTACAATGGGCATTTTCCGGATTACTGGAAAAAAAGCTATATTACACCTTTATTCAAATCAGACAATAGGAAAAATGTTACAAATTACTGAGGAATAAAGAAATATCTCGTCATCACTTTTTCCAAATCAAAAAATATCCTTTATAATGACTTTAATATTGATGGAAAAGTACTCGTCAGGGTAAACGAAATAAGAGACCTTGATATTACTTTAGCAGATCAACAACTGAACTTCAAAAGACACTTCAATAATGTTTCTGCAAACTGAAGCAAAATGTTGGGATTTACAATGAGAAATGGTAAATAGTTGTTATGTAATGCCCTCAAAACTAAATATTGTTGTTTAGTTAGATCAGTACTGGAAAATGCCTGAGTGGCATGGTTCCCAATATTACAAATGTGACATTGAAAAAATGGAAAATGATGAAATTCAACTTCTGAAGTACATATTCTTCAAAATGAAGACATATTCTAACTTTAATCGTCAAACAACTTTAAATAATCTTAACTAAACTTACCACACGGCGCTTTCATCATGATGTCATGATATGACATCCATTTACAAAAGCTACTGTCACGTGAAGTCGACTGTCCTTATCTTTTGGAAATTATTATCTTCAATGTACAATCTTACGACACAAGAAATCCTTCACTTTTTTGCATAAAAAATCATAACACTAAATATGGTTACAACACACCGATGTCCAGATGCATGAGATTATTTAATAAGTAGATATAATGTCGATCCCTTTGTAAACTTATTGAGTGAATTGAAAAAATCTCTTTTAGTGACATAAGGTTAATATTATTAAGGTTAATAATATTAAGGTTAATATTATTGTTGTCTTATGTACCTTCTTGGAACAGTAGTTAACTGTTATAAATGTAATGTATATTGTTTCTAATGGGAATCCGTAGGTAAATAAATAAATGAATGAATAAATAAACTGGTAACAACCAGTTCATTCATTTAATTCGTTTAAATTTCACTTTCTCTAGCAATATATACCTAGTTACGATTTACATACCATACCTTTTGGGTTTGTCTTTCCTCAACTCAGTCAGAAACAACGAGAAATGTGGCAACGTTCAACACATAATCATCTTTCATTTCTTTTCTCGTTAAGAAACGTTGGCAATATGGCAATGTTCATGTTGGCGTTCGTATGGCAGAATTGAAGTGAAATGAAATAAGTGATTTTTGTGTTCACAGTTGAAAATTTTATTTCGGACGCGTTTTTTATCGAACATTAAGTGCTCATTGATATTATTTTCATATATTTACTTTACAGATTAACTTGGAGAGAATCTAATTTTATTTTTGTAGGTAAGTCGTTGAAGGTCTGCATATTTTACAAAATGGCGAATCATTGCATTAATTCTTGTTCTTGAAATGCTTATAGTTTAATAAAACGTAATGGATATTTTAGTGTGGAGTCATTGTATGAGAATTCATCAATATTTTTTTGGTTTAATTTTCTATATGTGCATCCAACACAGGGGTCACTGACCTTTTTTTATGCCAAAATATTCTATTGATCTTTTGTAGATGCTAGACCTGAATAAAGTTACTGTATTGATGATGGTATTTATAGAAATGATGTTTTTCAGTGTGATGATTGGATTTACAGTTCAAGATGAACAGATTTTACATACTGGAACATATTTTTTGTAGAATTGTGAAAAACCCCTCAGGGCAGTGTTCTGAGACCTGTTTCATTAGTTCTGTTTTAATGTCTTTATTTAGAACTGTGAGTAATAATCTTTTCGCTGATGATAAACTTATGGCAGTCAGTGATGAACACTGACTATGCAATTAAAAAAATTAATAAAGCTCTTGGAAATGAAGTGAAAGGAGGGTCAAAGGAATATTAATTAATATTAAAAAATATTTACCCAAGTAAAGGGTATCCAGATGAAGCATAGCATATGAAAGTTATGTTTTTTTTTCAGATGAAATGTCACATATTGCTTTCCATATTCAAATTCCATCAGAAAAGTACTTGTCTACATATAGGATTGTATGGATATAACAACAATTTATTTAGAAATAGAGACCCAAATGTAAAAATACTGATGATCTAACCTAATTACAATCGATTACGTCATATATGATGGAATTGGCGGATACTTGATGAAAATCCATAATGTATTCAGAAAAAACACTTGTGAGATTTTCACTAAACATGTTGAGTGAAAGTCTCACATTAAAGTGTTGCTAAACATGTTGCTAAACATGTTGAGTGAAAGTCTCACATTAAAGTGTTGCTTTTTGAATAAATTATGTCATATCCACTAATACTCCACCATATATAGTCTTACTGAATGTGGTTGTATTATGGCAGGAGTGTAAATGTGGTTGTATTATGGATTGGTATACAAGTATATTCTATTTTATTCTTGAAAAGAAGTGAAGTTTCTTTGAAATTATTTTATAAATGTAAATGCAGTAATCATTTAGCGGCAACAAATTATTCAGTTGGAATCTGAGATATTTCATGGTGATGACAATATTGATTTTTTCATTATTAATTTTGACACTAATCAATGTACTACTATTATTAGTAACTCTTGTTGGTTCATGGATCAGTTGTTCCACCCCAATATTTGCAATGAAATTCTTGAATATTTTTACCAAAGAATAATTCTCGTTAAGGAAGTTCAAATTGAAATCACCAATCAATATGCACTTATTTTGTTGAGAGAAAATATTTTCAGCCCAATTTTCAAAGTGATCAAAAAACTCATCAAACTTAGAACTAGGAGAAAGATATAAACATCCAATCAATACATTTTCATTATGAAACTTCATTCTTATAACCAAACACCAATAGACCGAGTCGACATTTTTTTGACAACCTGGAAACTATAGTCATCACGAAGGTATATCACTACTCCTCCTGTGTGACGGTTTGCAGCGTCACATCTTATAACTTTATAGTCCAGAATGTCAATTTCAAAATCATCCATGTCTTTTGTAGTTCTTGTTTCACTAAGAAGTAAAATTGAGGGGTGGTAGCAAACAAGATCATGAACTAGCTGATCAAGGTTTGCGTATAAACTCTGGATGTTGGCGTAAATAATATCTGTGTTATTATTGAATATGTATGGAGTAGTTCAGAAGTTATATCTAAAATAATACCAAAAACTCAGTTGGAATGTCTGTTTTTCTATAGGGATATATCAAAAATGTTGTTTTTTTCCTTCAGTCTTTTACTGTGTATCCTTTATATAAATGAATAAAAAATTCCAATGATCTGATCTCTAAAACTCTTATTTGAAAAATTTTCTGATGATTTTACTTCCTCACCCAATACTTTTAATGGAAGGTTGGTGTGACAAACACTGTAAATAATTGTAGAATAGAATAGCAATCCAAAGAAATGAACTTTAAACGTTCAAGCCAGTCTCTAATATACCTACACAGTAGGTTGAATGGACTGACGCCTATCAGAAAACAACTACTCCCCTGGCTAATACCACGAAGGGCGTTGGATTATATCTGACAGGTGTCAGTGCAGGAATCTTCACAGAAAATTTCCTGCATATTGGATATTGGCATAGATAGATAGATATATTTATTTGATCATGTTATGTATAAAATACATTTATGACAAGTCTATAAAATAAAATAAACAGTAAAAATTTGTAACAAGTTTACAGGGTATATTAACATATTCAAATTAAGTGTGGAGGTTCGGCGAGCATCTTAGATAGATAGATATATTTATTTGATCATGTTATGTATAAAATACATTTATGACAAGTCTATAAAATAAAATAAACAGTAAAAATTTGTAACAAGTTTACAGGGTATATTAACATATTCAAATTAAGTGTGGAGGTTCGGCGAGTATCTTCCTTGCGTCAAAAGTGTGTCTACGCACATGTTCTAAATATTCTGAAGTGGAATAAAAACAGTTTTTTTTTAAATATGCAATTGTTCGCTCCAACTTAGGAAGAGGAATGAAATACTCTGAAAGAATTTCGATTTTCAATTATGGAATATCATTGACTTTAGGTCGATGATGGCCACTATCTTGCACTGATGAGTGGCTAATAAGCCCGAAACCGTCCTGCAAGTGTGTCCTTTCCAAAATTGAAGGTCGACTCTTTCAGTTGTATTGCCAATTGCATATGCAGGAAATTTTCTGTGAAGATTCCTGCACTGACGCCTGTCAGATATAATCCAACGCCCTTTGTGGAATTGGCCAGAGGAGTACTTGTTTTCTGAAAGGCGTCAGTCCATTCAACCTACCGGGTAGGTATATTTACACTTATAAAATTTTATCAGACTACTCAAACCTGATCAGTAGGCTATATATAAAATATAAATAGATACGTACATGGACATTACAAAAATAAAAGAAAAGCATCTTATTGACTTATATTAGGAGATTAAAAATTGTTGCACAGAATGAAATGCATTCTTTGCTAGGTGACTGTATAGTCTCGATTTAAATGTTTGCATAACTTTTTTTTTACGTGAACAGTGACTCACTTTTTTATTCAGGTATTATGATGACGGAAAGTTCTACGATCCCACCTCCACCTGGGACTACGGAGAATCCACCATTACCTCCAGAACCACCATCATCACCGCCTCCGCCTCTACCACCAAATACCGCCCCAAATAACCAACCGCAAAACAACTGGGCACAATTCTATTACAGCGGTTATTACCATCCCCAATACGCACATTATTATCAACAATATTACATGATGCAGCAAGGTTATAATACTTATAATCAGTTCACACAGTTTCCAGATAAAAAAGAAGACAAAATTCAACCGCCCCTACCGCCAGGCCCTCCTTTACCCAGCATCCCTTCGAATTCTCCCCGACCCCCCTTGTTGAGTACTCCAAAACAGTTTGGCAGTATCAGGTTTCAACTGAATGGTAAAAGACTACCGAACAACAATGCGATTTTGCAGTTGAATAACTCTCCGAACAGCGGAGCGGCTAAGAAAAAACGAAAGCGTAACAGGAACAACCAAAACATTCAGAACCAATTTAATCAAACAAATAATTTCGGTATTCCCCCATTACCTCCTCCAGAGTTGAGCCTCCCCAAGCCGGCTCCTCCTCCAGAAACCATGCCCCCGGAACCCCCTCTTCCCCCTCTACCGGAAGAAATGAAACCCCCTGAGCCCGTTCAGGAGCCTCCATCGTGCAATTCTGCCCCGAAAGGGATGGCAAACCCGTCCGATGATTGGCCTGAGAGTCTGAGAACTTACGTGCACCAGTGCTACGCCAAATGCAAGACTAACATAGATAGGAATCAGGTGGATATTATCTTGAAGGGGAAAATTACCCAGGCATATCAAAACAATCAGCTGCATAGAGATTGGAGCAAGGAACCTCTTCCAACGGTTCATAGTGAACGCCCCCCGTTCACGGGTCAGCTCAAAACTGTCCCGGGACAGTTGAGCCAATTTCAGAATCTCAAGAAGGGCATATCTCCGGGCTTGGGTGCTAGGTTAGGTGCTAGGTCTAATGTGCTCCGGAAGAAGAGCAGATCTTCTTCTAGGTCTAGGTCCAAGTCTATCACTTGTCACGTGACGTCACGAGGTCCCAAACACTAAGACACTGATGAAGCAATATAGTTTTTTCTTATTTTTTTTTCTCATGAAAGTCTGGCTCCTCATTGATGAAAATCTAAAATTTTATTTCCATGTCGACTACTTATGTAAAAGACTAGCAGCAGGATGTCATGCATTACTGATTCAATCACATATAGTAACAGATAGATCTCCTGTTTCACATTTTTGTTAATGATATAGCCGAATGTTTTGAGAACACAGGCTTTTAAATGTTTGTAGATGATTTACAGCTCTTCAGACCAATAAGATCATTGGATGATGCTAAATTAATTCAACAAGATAAGTTGTCCTTTATTTAAAATCTCAATATTATAAATCAAGTAAGCGGTTGATGATAATTTTGATAATAAATTTTCAGTGTTTCTTCCAATCCAGATTCTCATCCAAATGTATTCTAAAAAACTTCACATTGTGTCTGTTTGTGATTGGCATATTGTTAATTTTAATTACAAAAGTTTCACAATTACTTTGCCTTGTGTGAAATCGTATCATGCTAGTCTTATTTGCATTGAAACGTAGATTATTTGAATAGCACCATATTAATAGATTATTTACTACTTCAGTACAATCGCTTTCTAGTCAAGAATCATTCTTGTTAGATATGATAGGTGATATGTCATCAGCATATATGGTGAAAGAGCACTGTCAGAAACAGCACCAATTTCATTGAGATACAACAAAAACAACACAGCACCCAGAATTGAGCCCTGTGGTACACCATACACAGATAAACAGTTCAATCTGATCTCATTATATCCATTAATTGCACTATTTTTCAATCACACATACTAGCGTCAATTCTCAATAAATGTCTGTATCCATGTCAAAGGATCACCCCTAATACTATAATCGTATAATCTACTTGATAGTATCTGATGGTTGGCACAGTCAAAAGCTCGACTGAGATCACAGAATATCCCAAGGCTCATACCTGCTTCAAACTGACAAATTAGTCTCTTATAAAAGGAATGCATTGCCGTATGTGTTGACATACTTGCCCAAAATCCATGCTGGTTTACGTTCACGATTTGCTTCAGAAGCTGAGAAGATATGGGATTGAGGGGATGGTTTATGAATGGATAAGTAATTATTTATCAAATAAGAACCAGAGTACGTGTGAACGATTTTTTTTCATCATATATAACAAATCACACAGGAGTACCACAAGGTAGTGTGCTTGGTCACTTATTCATTCTGTATTTGAATGATATACAATTATTTACAGACTATGAGTTCATTAACTTATTTGCAGATAATACCTTATTGGCCTGTACTGGAGTAAATTTAAAAAAAACTGTTGGCAGAATTAATAAGGTTTTAGAGAAAGCAGGAAAATATCTGAAAACCAATAAAATGAAACTTAACATTAAAAAAACTAAAGCAATGATAATCACTACTAAATTCAAATATAATCAAATAAATACAAACAACGTAAATATAAAAATTGAAGATGAAGGTATAGAAATAGTAACATCAGTGAAGTATTTGGAATTTCAACTTGATTACAAAAAATACAAATACAAAAACACAAAATCGGAGAATGAGAATCATTTTGAAATGTATTAAGTATACACCAATTTCTACCATGCTATCTACTCTACAATGGCTCTCAGTATCCAAGATTATTCTATTTTTCCATGGTTTTCATTTATAAAAAAAATATTAAATAAAATGACCCCACCATACTTGCTATCATTAATAACTTTCGATAAGGACATTCATCACTATTCTACTAGGGACAACAGTCACATTTATATAAATAGAACAAATACAAGAAATANGAAATTTCTGAAATAACGTCCCAGGCATTACACAATTCACTAATTTTTCTCTGATGGATTTTTTAACATTTTGAATAAGGTTTTTGTATTCTTTCTTAACTCTATCATTTCGTTGTAGTGGAAGCTCTGACTCAAGTAGCGATGAAAACTTCAAACCCCTCACGAAATCCAGCAAGAAGAACAAAGGTAAATTATCCGACAGGTTAGGTCCTACTAAAACTAAGTTGGCGAAATCTTCCAAGAAGCAGAAAGCAAAGGAGAAAAAAGCAAGTTTTTATTCGACGTTTGGCAGCGAACTTGAAGAAAGTACGGAGGTGTTACAGCAGAGAGCTGCTAGGTTCAATAACGGAAAACAAAACGGTACAGGGAGCGCCTCAAGCCCGGTTAACGATAACAAAAAGCAAGGTTTTATCATCGATAAATTTAGTGAAGATAATAATTCGGTGGACTTTGACTGGTCTGAATGTCACATTGTGGGCACGTGTCATGATTTGGAGAAATCTTTCCTTCGTCTTACTAAAGCTCCTGATCCATGCGACGTTCGGCCAGTCGAAGTGCTCAAATTATCATTGCAGAATGTCAAGGAGAGATGGTTAGCAAAACAAGATTATTTTTACGCTTGCGATCAGCTTAAGTCAATACGACAGGATTTGACGGTAAGTTGAGACTATTTTGCAAGTGATTTTTTTCTCCACACATTTAATATTTCAACAAAATCTTTTTTAATTTTAGAGATTATTCAACACTTTTGTAGAATCTGGAAGAGTTGATATGGAATGTTATAAATTATACATTCAGTCATTATTCAAAATAAAAATTTTATTATAAAATTTCAATTCACGGTCAAGGAAGGAAAATCCTATGCTACAATAATAGAGCTTCATTCACCACTGTTATTCTGTACCACGACGTCAAGTGAAATATATAACGTAAGCTATAGGGTATTGACTATCTTTGGTTGTGTACCATACACCTGTACCTAATATATATATTAAAAAAAAATTGAAATTAATTTCTGTCAAATTGCATTTCAAATTTCGCGCCAAAACGCCATCACTTGTCACGTGACGTCACGAGGTCCCAAACACTAAGACACTGATGAAGCAATATAGTTTTTTCTTATTTTTTTTTCTCATGAAAGTCTGTCTCTTTGGGAAATAACACATTTTTATTTTGCTTTCAGATATAATGACCATTATGAAATCTCTTTCGGCAGAAGAAAAATCTGATGAGTGTATATCTTTCGCGTTAAAAATTAGATCGGCTTGGGGTTCGGGCAATTTCCACAAATTTTTTTATCTTTACCGTGTCGCTCCTTTAATGACCGGTTATCTCATCGACTGGTTCATTGAAAGAGAAAGAAAATCCTATCTTAAGTGCATTATCAAAAGGTACGTACACATATTTTTTAGAATAGACATTGCTGCATAATCGGTGGTGTTTCGAAATGTTTTTCAGCAGATTATTTAATGGCAATCAAAAAAGTGAAACAATTAGAAATTTTAATGGATGTATACGATGTGTCGCTTTATTGCAATTTTGTGTTGTTGATTTTGGATTGAATCAATTCAACTGAACCATAGTAATAATGCCTATCGAACTGGTCAGCTCAAAATCTAAAATATTGAAAATAGTTTATTTGAAAAAAATTCAATATTGGAGATGTCTTCATCTCCCTACAATGTTCTTTATTTCAAAAAGGCATTCAACTCTTGTTTCAGTTTGATCATGTTTTCTGGATATTAATGTATCTCAAGATATTTGTTGTAGCATTTGATTTATATGAATCCATGCGATTTTTGTCCCAAAGTTATCTTTGAAAATAATTGATGTGTCTGATCTTCATTTATGGTTATACTAGTTGTTGCCCGTGGCTTCACCCACGTAGAATTTGGTTTGTCACATCAAGTTTCGTGACAGACCATTTTAAACAAATAGTTTCAATATTTTTTTTATCAACTCAAAACTTCATCTTTCCAACTTCAAAAGTGACCAAATTCAACACAATCTTTGAAGCCCTATTTTTTTCCCCTTTGGGAGTGGAAATTCCTGATTTCCTTTTTTGAGTCTTATTTACGCTATACAAAGAACCTACCTGCATATTTCAAAATTCTAGGTTCAGTAGCTTTGGCTGTACGTTAGAATAAAAGCAGGCAACAGCTAGTAATTTATATTTTTACTTTATGAATACAGTAACTAAAAAAATATACCAACTAAATAATGAAGCTCCGAGTATTTTGCTGACGGTTTGTTTTTCATTATTTGACTGTCCTAATATATTAGGGTGAAAACAACAACCCATTGACATAGAAGAAAAATTTCCAACTATCTGATGGTAGGATCCATTGTTTTACATTGTATAAAATCGAGAAGTTTCAAAGTATATTTGGATGCTGAGCCCAATATATATTATAAGAAATATTCTAGGATGTGTCAAATCTGCAAAAGTTGCTTGGAAAGTGAAATAACTTCCAACACGTAACATAATTCAGAGTTTTCCAAACACTGTTATATACTGCAATATTTCTAATATTTTATCTGTTTAAAATCTGTTTTTCCGTTAATCAGCTGTCGCACCCAAACGAACGACAATCGTCAGAAGGACTAACAAGGTCTTACCTTTTAACGTGTAATTCCTAAAACGGGTTGGATGATAGCAAGTAAAAATTGAAAGTTTGGCCTGGGGCTTGAACCACTGATCGGCTACCGACCGACATAAAAAAATTCCAATTGTTTCACTTTTTTTTTTCCTAAGTCAAATAAACAATTAACCTGATTTAAAATGATCAGTTCATGTTTGATTCATGATTTTTTTAAATATATCAAAACAAAACCGTCATTTGTTTCAGACTTTATGGGTGAATCTGAATTATGACAGTTTAAAGATATATGTAACTTTGACTGTAACTGGCTAAATGTGCCATGCCAAGAAAACCTAAAGAGAGATAACTTTGAAAAAGTAATTGACAGAAAACTATCTAAAAGTTTCTTATTTGCCTTTATAATGAATGAATGAAATTCATGAACCTCAAATTACAATTTCTGTTACATTAGAAAATATTCGCAACACTTCAATCAACTAGAGGTTAATTAAAATCCATTATTAAAAATCACTTTGAAAACTAATCAATAAATTTGTCTTTGACCACTGTAGGTTGTAAAAATAATCAGCGCATGAGGTTATGAAATATTTTTTGAAGAGTTGATAACCTTAACTACAATTTCAATCTTGTGAAATCATACAGTAGTAAAAACTAATTTTGTATGCAAAGCGCATTCAAGACTAGTGTCTAGTGTTTTCTTTCAAACATTTTAATGTTAAATTCTTACTAGAAATTCAACCTCATCTCTTTAAACTTGAAGTCGCATAAAAACACTTTCTGGTTGGGTAATGTCACAAATCTGTTTTTATGTCACTCAGTTTATGAATATTTTTCTGCTATTATACAATGTGGTATCTATAGTATATGTGAACTATTATTTATCTAATGAATCTCCCAAAGAAAACGGCAAAATAAGGGACAACTTCAATTTTATTCAATATCTGATAACTTCCAAAGTAGATACAATCAAAAACAAGTATAATAACAATACAGTGCGAAAAGATATGACAGACTCGCTGTTGCCAAGCCGATGAGAAATACGACTCACAAGTTTTGATGTCCCTCAAGTTTGATTGTGTCGAAAAATGCACACAAGTATTTATACCTGCCAATTAGCCCTCTGACGTCAAACGTTTTTGATGCTTGTCTCTTTCAAATTTCTACTACTTTTACTGCAGTATTCAAGTTTTGTTATTTTTTTGCCAATATAAAAATATTTGCACATGACCTGTTAGATTTTGTTAATCTCTTGTCAATATTAGACTGAATTATTTTTGCGTTCCATTTAATTTGCACCTAATAATATTTATTTAATATAATTCGAGTCTTTGTTTACTATGGATGAATTTTTGAGGGCTGGGTTGTTTTTTTGCCAACCTAACGATAATATCATCCGTTCTTTCTGTATTACCTAAATGATATCATTCGGAAAGGTAGCCTGATGAACTAATTTTCAAATATAAAATTGAGTTTTGGTTGCTCTTTCTGACAATTGAAAAAGGCTGTTTGTTTCCAAATCCAATATATTCAATAAAAGGTAAAAATGGAAATTTGAAAACATTCTTTAACTGCTATACAGCGCATTTCTTTAATGCCCCCCCCTTAATTTTTTGAACGGATCAACTCAAAAAATTGAAATTTGGGATAATGAAGTTAATGCATAATTACTTTATTTTCAACTGAAACTGACATATGGAAATTTCAAGATGGCGACTGGGCGCCATCTGGGAAAAAAATTAAATGAAAAGGAGGGTCTTGTGACATCATTTTGAAGATCCTGATGAATACTTCACAACCCTAGAATATGAAGTCAATATCTTCACCTACTACAAAATGTCGAAACATTAATAATTTCCTGAAGACAAACACATTAATATTGATGTTTCTAGAAATATTCCTTTTTATCTGCAATTTGGCAATTCCAACAACCCGTTAAGGTTTGTTAAGTTATTTTTTGTTTATAAAAACATTGAAAAGTGTCAGTACGACAATGAACATCATTGTTCAGTTGAAATATTCTCATTTAGTTTTCGGTTTTACTAGTAGAAAGGTACCACGTCAACAATCTCTAAAATGGTCAATTCAAGTCCATTGGAAGAAAAAATTGAAGCGATTTCTATTTACGGTGCGACGTGTAACTTTCACGAGACCGAAAGGATTTTCAATGAACACGATGAAGCACCACCACATTACTCCACACAAGTAAGAAACTATTTGGATACTACTTTTTCCGGTCGTTGGATTGACCGTCGAGGTCCTACAGAATGGCCAGCCCGCTCGCCAGATTTGACACCTTTGGACTATTTTTATGGGGCTATTTGAAGCAGAAGGTGTATTCATGCATTAATTTCATTATCCCAAATATCAATTTTTTAAGTTGGCCTGTTTTTAAAAATAAAAGAAGGGGGGACATTAAAGAAATGCACTGTATATCAAACATATGGAAACTGTATGTAAAGCTTTCTTTTGAGTAAATTACAGTATATTTTGAAAGTAAATTCTATATTCACATTGATCTAATATCTCTCTGTAGACGTGAAAGTAAGTTGTTTGTTTCTGTGAATTTGAATATATTTCTTCGCTAGAAAATTTGAGGCACATAATTAGTTTACAGTATATTTTGAAAGTAAATTCTATATTCACATTGATCTAATATCTCTCTGTAGACGTGAAAGTAAGTTGTGTGTTTCTGTGAATTTGAATATATTTCTTCGCTAGAAAATTTGAGGCACATAATTAGTTTTAGAATGCTTCATTTTTTTATCCAATATTAACAGTTATTATTTCAGGATAATTTTTTAAAGTAATTTTAGTTTGTCTGAATTTATGAGTATAAGTTCAGAAATGTTTGTGCCTTCTTGGAATTGAAAATAAATGCAAAACGTTCTTGGCTTTGTGACCTTTTGTTGGGGATGTAAATATTATCAGAACGTTTGAGAAATATATCACCGTAATTTTATACACTGTGATTTGGCTTTTTTGCACATGCACTTTGATAATCTATTCAGTGATCCGTAGTGGAAATCTTATGTACTGGAGGGTGACAACGAAAAATTTGAATAATAAAAGGAGTTTTCAGAAAAATTCAAAGTGTGACGGTTATCAGTTTGTGAAATACTCTAAGCTTATCGTTTACACTCGTCTTTAGGTTCGCCTTAGATTCTTTTATGATGAAATATAATCTGCTCAATCAAGTCTAGCCTGAGGATGTCTGAATTTTAACAATAATTGAAGATCTCACTTCATTTGTCTTGACTCGGCAAATGGAAATGCTTGAATGTATTAATATTTTGGCATAAATTCAAATCTAGAAACTCTTGACTAATGTTACTACATACGTTCATAGTTCCCTGGCATAGCCAGACAGGCAATGTGAAGGCTAGATAAAACTGATTAAAAAAAATAAGTCGATCAACCAATGAAGCCAAGTGGCTTTGTATGGGTATGAGAACTTTCGTATTAATGCATATAATTGCAAAAAAAATGTTGCAAGTGTCAATTTTGTGACATGTGACAATATGTGAACACTAGAGAAATTTGCTCTTTTCTAATTTCTGAATATTTACATCCCCGTATGCCTGTGTCCCAATTGTTTACTTATATTTATTTTTATGTTTAGCTACCGTCAAAATGTATCCTGCACCTTTGTGATGCAAGAGTTGGCCTTCAAGTCGGCAGAGGAGTGCTTAGAATTTCTAGAACCGTTTTCTTTGAGTTTCGTCGATTCACAAAGGACGTTTATTGATTGCAAAAGTAGCATGGCCGCTCTCCCCAATATCTAGTGTTCTCCTAACGTGTTTCTCCCAAAAACATTTAACGAATTATTTCGGCTATGTGATTCTTTCTGAATATTTATTCTTGAGGAACTTTCTCAAGGAATATTTCTCTCCTTTCCTTGTCTTTAGAAGTGTTATCGAGGATACGTTTGCAAAGCACCTGTCTTCAAATTAATGGTCACCGTCAGGGAGCGTCGCAGTGGAATTCAGAAGTTTTTTAGGGTTCTTGGGAGATTTCTAATACTGAAAAAGATGACGAGCCCTTCCAGTTATGCTGAGCATTTTTTACAATTCACTTCCGTATCATCCATTATCTGAGAAATTTGTACGTCATTGTTGGTTTCGGTTGGAATTACCAAGTTGTACGGTTGGATATTCAAAACTCATTTTGCCATGTTGTAGTGGCAATATGAGTCTGAGATGTGTGTACATAGTCAATTGTTGGAATATGTATATATGTAAAGTAAGTAATTTATTAGGAAAATATATACTTATTGAAACATTTATATTTATGTCTTTTATTCAATTATTTGAAATCCTAACCGAATTAGACTTCATTTTCATACTAAGGAGTTGTATTGTACAGTTTTCCTAGCAGACCCAGACTTATTTGATGAAGTAGACTCTTAGCTGCTTTTAATTTTTTCAAATTAAAGATTGATTTGAAATTTACAGACTTCAATTAGTATAATTGAAAAAAAAAAATCAATGTTGTGAAAATAAATGAAATAACACAAATAATTTTCTTCAAAAGGTTTCACAGGACCAATTTCTATAAAAAGAAGAAAAACATTTCATTAAATCCTTGTGTGTAACACTCTTTCATTCTTTTTATACTTTGAAAATGAGATTTCACTAAATCCTTGTGTGTAACACACTCACTCTTTTTATACTTTAAAAAAATTAAGCAAATCGTTAGTTGTATTTTTGACGAGGGAAAGATCATCAGTCAGCATGATGATCGCTCAATGCATTTGAGCGTTGCATGGAAAATGAACTGACGATCTTTACATCCACAATCGATAGACTATTTAATTAATAGTGAGAAATCAATAGAAATATTAAAGATATTGAAAACGAATAATAAAAGGCAAAGATGGAATAACTGTTTAATTTTATATGATACTAGCTGGCCAGGCAAACGTTTTTTCATATAAATTATTTTTATCAGAACAGTAACACAAATGACAAACTCCTAATGAAGGTAAATAGATAGGTACTATTCTGATCACTCCCATATTGATTTTAATTCAAGAGCCATCGGTAGACAACTGTTTCAGCCTATTGGGCATCATCAGTACCGAGCAGAGGGTCCTCGATTGAAGACAAAATGTGAATAACCAAGAAAAGCATTTGATAAAAATAACTGCCTTAATGCAAGCAAGACATGGAACCACCTATTGGTGTGAAATCCAAGTCAACTTTCCAGTCATCTATTTATCTTTTGATTTTCATGGAATTATTTTCCAGCAGCTTGAATGCATTAACCTTTCTCGATTTCATATTATTTATAGAAACGGATTCGTTTTTCTGATGGCATTCCAGGATAGCTTCACAAATATCTGCTACCGCAGCTGTCGGTTGATTGGTCAATCCACCAACACTGACATGAAAACTTGGCTAGTTGACTTGGGTGTCACACCAATAGGTGGTTCTACTTATGTCTCGCTTGCGTTTACGTGGTCATTTCTATCAAGTACTCTTCCTGGTTCACATATTGTCTTCAATCGAAGACAATATGTGAATAAGCAGCTATCTACCGGTAGCTCTTGAATTAAAATCAATATGGGAGTGATCAAATAGTACTTATCTACTCATTTTCATGGAATTATTTTCCAGCAGCTTGACTGCATTAACCTTTCTCGATGAAAATTTCTAGTAAAATGACCGTGCTACATTTTGTTTGAAGATATTCTAAAACTTACCTGGCATAAAACAAACAAGAAACTTATTCATAAAATATATAATTATAGTTCATTTTTGATAGTTTTGTACATATTTATTCTCTGCCAATTGCACTGAAAACTTAAATATAAACGTTTTTGAACGAACTCAATATAAAATTCTCCTAGGATCTTGGAGCTTCATTTTTCTTGCTAGTTTTTGATTGCCCTCCTTAACAAGTTCATTCAGCAGTTTTTTTTCAGTAAGTTATGGTTGAGTTGTTCGCAGTATAGAAGTCAAGAGATCGATGAACAGCATTATCCATCTTTGCTGAAACAGTTTGAAAGTAAATAATAATGACATAAAATACATTTCAGTGTAACTAGTACAATTTACTAATAATTCAGGACTGATTTAACTGCAACTAGCTGAATTTTTCACTGAACTTTCATTTTATAGTAGAGAAAAATTCCTGTGAAGTTCCAGCAAATACTCTTGGGTTGCTTTAAAAGTTTTGTCCGTTTTTATGAGTCTACTCTGAATTGTAATATCTCAGTGAATACTTTGAACAAGAATATTGATCTTAAAAATATTTAACTGCTATCTGGTTTATCTCTAATTTATATAGATGATACATCAGGAAATAAATCTAAAGCAAATGGAACTTCAAACGTTCAAGCCAGTCTCTATATACCTACACAGTAGGTTTAATGGACTGGCGCCCATCAGAAAACAACTACTCCCCTGGCTAATACCACGAAGGGCGTTGGATTATATTCGACAGGCGTCAGTGCAGGAATCTTCACAGAAAATTTCCTACATATGCAATTGGCAATACAACTGAAAGAGTCGACCTTCAATTATGGAACGGGCACACTTGCAGACCGTTTTCGGGCTTATTAGCCACTCGTCAGTGCAAGATAGTGACCATCATCGACCCGACGTCAATGATATTCCACAATTGAAAATCGGAATTCTTTTAGAGTATTTCATTCCTTTTCCGAAGTTGGAAGTTAAAAAAAACAAAATTGAAAAATATAAGAACTCTATGTAAATAAAATGAATTATTGTCAACCGGAAAGAAAGGATTAATAGGTTGAACTGAAATGTGAATCATATTTCGTTTTTTTCTTCAATTATTTCAAATCTGTTAACATCTTTCCAGAAAAAAAAACACTGGTCTGTCTTATTTCAAGACATAAAAGGTAGGACTGATATTGCTAGATTATATTCATTGAAAGTCACTGACTTGAGTTTACTTCTAAGTATTCAGTTACTGTCGTTCAAAAATTATAAAATTTATTTACCTTAGTGGTTTACCTCTCGTTCACCTCTAGGTCTCATCTCACGGTCAACATCAGCCATTGCTAGTGCTTCAATAAGCCTTCTACCAAGTTCGTGATTCCTGTTGAACCTATGATGCAGTACTTGATCAATCTGAAAATTATCATCGAAATTATCACACTGATATTTATTTGATTCATTGAAAAGGAATACTAAAAAAGTATTCTCATACAATAACAAGGAGAACGTCAAGTTGTATACGTATAGCGCTTTCTATCTTTAAATTAAGGATCTACTGATGCCATTATGTGTGGAATATAATATCGTTCAAATGTCCGCCACGGTTTGTCTGAGTGGAGCGCCTCCGAAACGTCCGATTTTCCAAGACTCTGACGCATAAATGCAGGCTGAATTCGACCGATGGCATGGGTTATGTTGGATTGGAGAACCACTGTGGTTTGTAGCTCATTCCCATAAACCTGTGACTTGAGAAAAGGCTAATGGGGTCAAATTGCACGGTCTTGGTGACCAATTCACATCACTACGTAAGATGACCCTGCCCACAAATCGCTTGTGCAGAATATTCAATGTGGCATGAGCTGTTTAGCAAGTAGCGCTGTCCTGTTGAAACAACATGTCGGTGTCTAGATCATCCATTTCAGGCCAAAAAAAAGTTGGTAATCATCGGCCTATAGTGCTCGCCTTTGACAGTGATAGCCTGGCCAACGTCGTTCTCAAAGAAATATGGACCGATGACGCCGCCAGACCAAAATCCTCACATAACAGAGACTTCTTTAGAATGCATTGGACCCTCTTGGATCTAACGTGGCTTGGTATCAGACCTGCCAGAATGAAAATGCAATAATGTACTAAATCATGGAAGAAAAAGTACTAAATCCAGAGGACTACATTATGTTGTTGAGTGATTTTAGGAAAATTTTTCTCTATGAATTAAAATTGAACTAAAGCGCTGCCAAAACAGCCCGAAAAATTAACCAGACATTTGGAAATGATAGTGTTGTATTTCATCAGTTCGGACTTCCATTGTCTAAGATAATATAAATTGATTTGAAATCCCTGAAAAAAATTAAAAAGATTAACCAAAAATAGCAATTTTATTAAACAAAAACTGAAATTACAAAGAAATAACACACAAACTACAACCAAAAAAATTAAAAATTGAGATATTAATAAAAGCTGAAAATGAAAATATTAACAAAAAAGATTCCAAACCAAGTTACGTCACGACGTTTCGATTGTTAGTATCCACAATCGTCTTCGGGTGATAACTGGACTTATTCCTCCGAGATTTGACTATTTATAGGTCATTCGAGTGCTTTCACCTATCCCCTCTTTCCGCTTCATTGGTTTTAGCGGGAGATGACCGTTTGGCGGGAGTTGGTCGTTTTTCGCTTGATTAGAGGTTTCCATATGCTACGTATCTCTACGCCGGCTTGACTAAATGCGTTGTTGCGTAGAGATACGTAACATATCGAAACCTCTAATCAAGCGAAAACCGTTTGGCGGGACAACTCCCGCCAAACGGTCACATCCCGCTAAAACCAATGAAGTGGAAAGAGGGGGTAGGTGAAAGCACTCGAATGACCTATAAATCGTCAGATCTCGGAGGAATAAGTCCAGTTATCACCCAAAGACGATTGTGGATACTAACAATCGAAACGTCGTGACGTAACTTGGTTTGGAATATTTTAATTTTTCATTTTTTGTTAATAATATTTTTATTTTCAGCTTTTATCAATAATTCAATTTTTTATTTTTTTGGTAGTAGCTTGTATGTTATTTCTTTGTGATTTCAGTTTTTTGTTTAATAAAATTGTTGTTTTTGGTTAATCTTTTTAATTTTTTCGGGGATTTCAAATCAATTTATATCATATCAGACAATGGAAGTCCGAACTGATGAAATACACCACGAAACATTGTCAACCACCTTCAAACAAATGATAGTGTTGATGTGGTCAACCCAACGTAATCCAGGACGAGGATTTGATGACTCTGGTTGGAGACTGATCCATCTCAAACGGTGCGTGGGATGGAGGAAAAACTAGGCATAAGCTCCCATGCGGTTTATGATGGATTAAAACGTATTGGAAAGGTCAACAATCTCAAAAAGTGGGTGCCCCACAATATGAACAATCCACAGAGATTGTCACATTTCGAGGTCTGTTCTTTACTTTTGCGCAACCAAAACCATCCTTTTTTGTATCTGACCATCACGTGTGATGAAAAGTGGATCCTCTACAACAGGAGACGTTGACCACAATGGTTGGACACCAATGAGACCCAGACACTTCCAAAATGTGAGAACCCACTGAAAAAAGACCATAGTTACTGTATGGTAATCAGCGGCTGGTGTGAGTCACTACAATTTGCTGCAATCGGGCCAAACCCTCACAGCAGAGTCCCATTGTAAGGAAATCGATGAAATGTGTCGAAAATTGCGTCAGCAGCAGCTGCGACAACGCCCGTCTGCACGTTTCACAAATCACCGTCCAAAAATTAAACAAATTGAGCGTCGAAGTTCTGCCTCACCCACCATACTCCCCAGACCTCTCGCCAATCGACCACCATCTTTTCTAGCAGTTCGATAACTTCATCCCTGGTATAACTTTCGCCAATCAGGACCAGGCAAAAACGGCCTTCGTCGACTTGCTTTCTACTTCTCCATTCAATTATTATTTTGTAGTGTGTGTCAAAATAACTTTTCAGAGATCACCATAATTATCTTTCCATTAAACTAATCTTGATATTAACACAAAACTGCAACTTCTCAAAAATCTACTATACTACTGTATATCTCTTTGTAACATAATAATAATAATAATTTTATTAGTCTTTAGAAACATACAGTTTTTAGACACATCAATACAATCTCTAAAATAAGTTTGAGAGGATAAGATTCATCAATACAGTTTCTAAAAAATACTTGTAGATACATTAGATTTACAAAAAAATACAAGTTAAAAAGATAAAATTCCAATTTTTTAAAATTGATTAAAATGTAAAGCCATGAGTATTTTACAAAGTATAAATCACATAACTGACATATTATATCTATTTAAAGTTGAGTACAAGTTTAGGAGGTGACCACAAAAGTGCCTCTTTCTTCTTGAATAACTTCGAAAAATTAATGATAATGGATGTTTGGTTAATATTTTCTTCAATAAGTTTTTGAATCTTCTGAAAGGCAAGTTACGAAATTCGACAGATAAGGCATTGCATATGTCAATTCCTAAATTATCTGTTCTTTTCAACCCATCAGCTGTAGAAACGAGGTTGAAAAGAACAGATGACAAAAATCAAATCATGTTTATCAATAAATCTGGTTTTCGAAAAAAAAAAAACATTCTTGTGAAACATCACTACAGTTATCGCTAACTAAATTTACTAATGAAACAGATAAAGGTAAATATGTTAAAGCTGTCTTTTTAGATTTCAAAAGGGCTTTTGAAAAGATTGATAGAAGTATTTTCATTCAGAAGCTGAGAAGATATGGGACTGAGGGGGCGGTTTATGAATGGATAAGTAATTATTCATCAAATAGGAAACAGAGAATACGTGTGAACGATTATTCATTTTGTATCTGAATGATATACAATTATTTACAGACTGTGAGTTCATCAACTTATTTGCAGATGATACCTTATCGGCCTGTACTGGAATAGATTTAGAAGAAACTGTTGGCAGAATGAATAAGGTTTTACAAGAAAGCATAAAAATATCTGAAAACCAATAAAAAGAAACTTAACGTTAAAAAACTGAAGCATGAATCGTCAATAACTTATCAACAGATAAAAAAATTATGGTATATAAATCAATAATCCAACCCCATTTTGAATACTGTGCATCTATTTTATTCTCTTTTAATTTGAACCAAGTGCAACAAATACAAAAACTACAAAATCGGGAAATTTGAATAATTTTAAAATGTAATAGGTATACACCAATTTGTACCATGCTATCTGCTCTACAATGGCTCTCAGTATCCAAAAGATTATTCTATTGTTCCAATGGTTTTCATTTATAAAATATTAAATAAAATGACCCCTCCATACTTGCTATCATTAATAACATTTAATAAGGACATTCATCACCATTCTTCTCGGCACAACAGTCACATTCATATAAATAGAACAAATACAAGAAATAGTATGAGCAGTTTATTCTTCAAAGGTTTCGTCCGATTCAATGATTTACCTGATGCAATTAAATCTACTCTATCATTGAAAATTTTCAATAGGGAACTGTTAAAATGTATCCATGATTGAAAACTTCATTTGTGTTCACTTCAAATTATGTATGTATATAACATTGTATTATTTATATAAATTTTGTTGATTATATTATATTTTAAGTTAGCTAACCTGTATATTAGGGAATTGAGATTCAATAAATAAATTCATTCTAATGATATAGGAATTAAGCTATACAATGCCTTATCTGTGGAATTTCGTAACTTGCCATTCAGAAGATTCACACACAGTTTCAAAATGAAAGATAATTATGACCAATATAATTCAAAATAACAAAGTAGTTCAAGCTCTGAATCATTTCACCAAATAAAATAATCCATTTAAACATTTCAAACTTGTGTGGTTGTTCAACTCAACATTTAAACTCTCTTTATATTCATTTTTCTTCATTTAGTTTAGTTTCACTATGTCAATGTCCTGTGTATTTTCAATGTCAATAAACATTATTATTGTTATTAAATGGAATTACCTTTTGGGGATTTTGTAGTCAACGATTACTACAATCAGTGTTTGTGCAGTTCGATACCTATGGAAAGCTCAAATGCGTGAACCCTGTATTCATCAGCAAGGGCATTTTAACCCTCAACTGCATTTTTATTCTAAGGTCTGTATGTCTAATATACAAAAATCTCAATACAGTTGATACCCCAAAATTAAGTAGTCAAATGAAATATGTTACAAGGCATATATTATATGAAAATAAAATACCTCTCCCTATTCCGAAATCTACTTATGAAAGCAAAAAATATATAATTACGTACCCTCGAAAAGGCATTCTATAATCTCGAGGAATTATACAGTGAAACTCTGCTATGATTTTATTTTAGATATGATTTTATTTTCAGTATGTAATTTTTTTTCATTTTTAGTTAATTTTTATGTGATTTTTTATATATACCCACTCATTTTATCTATATTTGACATATGTTTATTTTTCAACTGATTAGTATAGGGTTTTTCTACTTTTGTAAATATATTGTGTATTTAAAAAAGCACTCTTTAAAATTTTTTTTCCTAACATGCTTTGTCAATAAGAACTTGATTTATCTCTCTCTCTATCTCTCTCTCAAATGATGCTACCTACATCCATTCCTCGTGCTGCTCCTTGTCGAGGTACCTGACGGGGGCCTCGTGGCATAAGAAACTGCTGTACCTGAAAGAAAAAGTATTCAAACTTTAATACAACAAACAACTGAAGATCTGAGAAGTAGTTTAAACTTTTCTAACTTGCTTGCCTTGACAGAAAAATAAATATGATTCTTCCATTCATTTATGATACTTTTACAATAGCTAACCAAATTTCTGCACAAGCTGTGCCCAATTCAGCTTCAGTGATTACCCTGTTTATTCATATTCATTCATTTGTGAAGTTTTCATTGTAATTTTTTTTGAATAAACATATCTATCTATATCGAGGTTATAAATATCACGGTCTGACTATCGAGGATAAACTAAACTTATCACCTGAATGCTATTTAGTGTGAGCAGTAATGAATAAACTTGGATTTTCTACAGGAATAAATATAGTTTAAAAATATAAAAAACAGGTTTTTGAAGAACATCGAACTAAAAAGTTAAAAATATATTTTTTTAAATAAGATTAATACTTTTTAGTTCGATGTTCTTTAAAAGCGCGTTTTTTAGCACTCACTTTAGATCTACCTACCATACCCAATATTCAGAAAATAGGACCTCTATTTATTGATCAAAATTCAACAGGGGAACTGTATTTGAATATGCTGGAAACTACTGTTGACCTTCTCATCACTGAAATCGTCGAAGCAAATCCTAACGAATTCGATATGGATATTGTATTCCAACAAGATAGAGAACCACCACATTACTCCAGACAAGTAAGAAACTATTTAGATACTACTTTTCCCGGTTGTTGGATTGGCCGTCGAGGTCCTACACAAAGGCCAGCCCGCTCGCCAGATTTGACACCTTTGGACTTTTTCAAATGGCTATTTGAAGCAAAAGGTGTACGAAACTGAACCTGCTTCAATATTGGATGTACGGCAGAGAATAATAAATATTTGTAGAGATATTGATGTTACTGTGTTCGAAAATGTTCGGCGTGAAATATCGGATAGGCTGTTCATATGTCAAGAAGTTCAAGGCAACCATTTCGAGCATCTTCTGAACTGACCTCAAGCTTATTACCTCATATTATTTAGTTAAATGTCAATGTATTCAGGCAATTATTGAAAGTTCCGCCATTTTGTAGTAGTTGAAGATATTGACATTATATTCTGGGGTTGTGAAGCATTTGTCAGGATCTTCAAAAAGATGTGTCACAAGACCCCCCTTTCCATTCAATTTTTTTCTCCCAGATGGCGCCTAGTCACCATTTTGAAAGTTTCATCTGTCAATTTCACTTCAAAATAAAGTTGAAAAGAGAAATGAAAATTTCTATGTTTTTAACCACTTTTATTTGTAACTAACGTTACTGCAGTTTCATCCTATATGGACATTTTCAAACTTGAACAGTAAACTCAACTTATTGTTCAATATTATGGATAAATTGATGGATGTAGCCGTTACTACGTGGTAGGAAATCATATTGATATTAAGTGGTAAAAAACATAAGAAATTTTCATTTCTCTTTTCAATATTATGGATACATGGAAAAAATATTGTCACTGGAACTGAAATTCACAATCGTGATGAAAGAAAAGGTTCATGTCCCAGTTAAACAGTATAATTTGATACTGGCTGGTTTGAGGAATTCCTCAGTAAAAAACTCACTGAAGAAATTCACTTGTTACTAACCCATCATATAACGTAGAAGAGGTTCTTTCACAGACTTGAATATAACTGTGCTTTTATGTGTATAATTGTATCATATATATTTTCCCATGGTGTTACTTGATTTATCCACACAATACTATGGGATGACGATCTATCTCTGATAGTTCATAATCACTATACTGCACAGCGGAAATAATGAGAAGGGTTTTCAATGAAAATTTGCTTTACTGTCAGTATTATTGCTATTGTATCATTCCCTCTTGTTAGGGATAAAGCTGTGGATTGATGAAATTTTGCTATCTATCTATACATTCAAAATTATTAATTTGCTGAAGTATAATTCATTTTTTTTGAACCTTAGCACCGATGTTGAGAACTATTAAAGCCAAGAGTTATGACTTACACTGTGGTTCTATTAAATAGTTGTTCGTTGTTATCTGGTCCATTACGAATGAGTGAATCTGCTGGACGAGATTCGCAGGTTTTATATCCCACGTTTCGTCTACAATTGCGGTAAACATTATCAAAGGCGTTGAGGTAAAGAGTGCAGTTTTCTAGTTGTCCTCTTCTACCATACTATGCGCTGAAAGGACAACTGAAGGTTTGTTCCCATTATCTCATCTTTGATGTCTACCACAGTTGTAGATGAAACAGTTTCACAAATAAATTCACAAAGAATTGCTGCTACTTACAATTTGAACTGCCATTGGTCTTGGATCCTGGGGCGGTGGATTTCGGGGGCGTTCTGGCAAAGGAACGTCTTGCACCTTGAAAAAAAAATTATTATAGGAAATATGTTGATATATTCAATGTTTTTATTCTACAGCTGTATACTTTTAGCAGAATAACCCCTCTGGAACAAATGGGCTTGCATGATCTAATCACAGGTGTTGAGCAACCTATGCAGAAGAATGATTGGTAGCTGGACCTTATCAGCTATCAGCAAAAGAGCCTGTCACATCAGATAGTCTTTCTTACAAAGATTCATTGAAAGAAATATCTGTGCAAGGTGCCAAAAAGATCCAGAGAGGAGACCAAAATTCCCCCACAGAAGGGGTTGAGAAACTCCAGAAGTTACCAAGAACAGAATAGATTCTATAGAGAGAGACTCCTAGTGGTGATTATTGGTAGCTGCCATCCCAAAATTGGCAATATTTCCTCAAATAGCCACACAAATCAGCAGTTCAAAATATCAAGTTGGTTAAAAAAACTGCATTTGGTACATGGTTTGGAGATGCACAAATGAACCTGAGAAAACTTCGGAAGGAGACAGTCTTGACCCTGGTCGAGTCCAAAGAATTTTTGAAAATTCCTGTCCTATATATTGGATAAATGATGAGCAAATGCTGGCCTCTTCCAGAGATGAAAGATCCTCAACAGCAGTACAGCTGCTACTTACAATTTGAAATGCATTATGTCTTGCTTCCTCGGGCGGCATAATTCGCTGGCGTGGCATCTTGAAAAAAAAATATATTATGGAAATATGTTGATATCTTCAATGTTTTTATTCTACAGCTGTAGCTTTTTAGCAGAATAACCCTACTGGAACAAATGAGCTTGTATGGTCTAATTCCAAATGTTTGGCAACTCATGCAGAAGGATGAATGGTTCTTGGACCTTAGCAATCAGCAACGAATAACAATAATATCCTTTATTCGCCATAAAAAATAAAATAGTATTAAAAAGTTATGTCAAATATCATATACCATAAGAATACCATAAAAACATTAAATGAATAAATAAAAAATAAACAAATAAGGAAATGGGATGTGAACAATTTCAATATAAATATCACTGTCTACGTAGATTGTAAATTCAAAATATTAGTTGGTGTTGAAGTCAAATGATAAGAATTCGTCGATATTATAAAAAGCGTTTTCCAGGCAGACATTCTTCATATAATTTGTAAACGAGGCTGTATTTAAGTTTCTTGTATCTTCTGGTAGTTTATTAAATAAAATAGGACCATAATAATTTTTCTAAAAACGGCAGTGATTTAGTCTTGTGAATTCAATTTTAATCTGTTGTGATTTTTCTTATTATTTATTGCCCCTAATACACTTATTTGCTGCATTGTTGCGAAATCATTCAAAATCCTCAATCTCGAGTCTTCTATATTTTCTATCTCTCTGTCAGCATTAATCCTATTTTTCAATGTCCCCCATAGAAAATAGTCCAAAATAGTAAGATCTGGTGATCTTGCAGACCATCTTATTGTCCCATTATTTGCCTGGAAATGGAAGGACCTCAATTCGAACATTTATTGCACAATTAATTTTTTTGTTTATATAAATTACTTACTCCATTTCAATTTTCATAATAATTATAGTGTTTGTTTCGGATGTTATTATTGCTACCATTTTTTTTCTGCTCATCAAAACACATATAATAATTTTTCAAAACACATATAATATAGTTTTGATAAATATGTTTCAAATAATCATAAAGTTCATTGTAGAAAACGCTCACAGCAATGGAAAAAATATGAATAGTTACCTAAAAATGAAAAAAAAACTCTCGAAAAACTCTACGGTACATAGGAAGACGTGAAAGTTGTTATTGTGTTTTTATTCACTCAGTCAACCAATTTCCAGGGCCGTAATTTAAAAGGGAATAATTCACACAATTATAATCGAATATTACCGAAAAATCCCGAAATATAAAATTCAATTTAATTTCTCATTATGAAGTGAACGTCTACGATTCAAAAACTACAACAAAAATACAGGTTCGTATTTAAAAATTCAAAGATGGGAGTGGTCCAAGTCAGATGACACCCTGTATAAAAGATTCATGGATATACTATGAGAGCCCACATCAAGTGCCAATAGCAAAATGTGGACAGATTTTCAATATGTCTGCAAATAAAGAAGATATAGGCAAAAAAATAATTTGGGATTTTTGTGGTTTTTCCTGTATATCTCCAGAACCAAAAGAGCTATATTCGATTTCTTCACATCAATGAATAGGTCTCTAAAATACGCAACTTTGACATAATTTAACCGACACTCTATCTCTTATCGTTTACGAGATCCCCATGTACAGAAACGAATTTGAATAGCCCTGTATACTCATTTTAAATGTATCTTCCTTATTTCATTTTTTATACTTTGTTATCAAGCATTATGTACTTGATATTGTTTTTTATTGAAAACATTGTTATTATTCTCAGCTTCGTCAATAAGATTATTCTTTAGATAATATCTCACCTGAATATTAGCCCGTCCTCGACGGTGTGGGTGTCTATGAAGAAAGTGGTTGACCTGAAGAAAATTATATTATAATAATAATGACTTCATTCAAAGAATAATGATACAGAAAAGCAGAATAAAAATTTATTCATCATTAAAAATGTTATACATGTGGTACATACAGATATGAAATTTTATCAGGCTAGTCAGAACAGAACATAAAGCAACTGCGCTTATCTATAGTTACAGTATCTATATACACGTTAGCAGTTAAGTAGACATGTTGAAAAGATGCAAGAACGGCGATCAGCTTAAATTGGTTAAAATTGTGAAATCTATATATTTGCACGAGTACAATAAAGCAATAATACCTAGAGTTGTAGAAATTTCTCAGTAGAATGAAATGAATTTTTTGTAAGGTAGTCAGTAAAGCACTTCGGAATTCAGTGAAACTACATTTGTTTCCAAATAGCTGAAGTGCTCTACTATAACAGATGATACCCTCATAACTTGAGGATCCCTGACCAAGAGCCAGTCGAAAGTAGGATAATCACAGTTCATTAAGTGAAGGCAATGTTAAAAGCGCAAGGCAATGTTAATAGTGCAGTAAAGGTATTTCTACAGGATTCTCTGTGATGTAGACCTGCCATACATCTTATTATCCTTTTTTTCACAATGAATACTTTTGTCATATGGGCGGAATTTCCCCAAAAGGTCAGCCCATAAGACATTGCAGACTGTATGAGTCCAAAAAGGTCAGTTTGAGTACCTGCAATGAAACAGTTTCCCGAAATGTCTCATTACAAAACACAAGCTACTCAATTTTGAGGTAAGATTTTCTACATGTACTTCTCAAGTCAGTTTTTGGTCAATTGCAAGTCCTAAGCATTTAATGACTGACCTGCTGTATAGATTTATGATCGATTCTTATGAGGGGACTGTAATCATATGAAGTCATATGAAGTACAACTTTATTAAAGAATATGTGAATTATGTGAAGGGAAAATTATTTATAGATACCCACGATATATTGTTAGATACAATCTATACAAATATTCGATATAAAACCTGTGCATGTAAATACTCTAGCCACGTTATATTGAAAAATACAAGAGTAAGAAGAAATAATTAACCTCATCAGACATTCTGACACTTAAAATCATTAAATACCATCGACCAGATACAATCTTTGGCTGCTAATGAGTAGAGGATATTATAACCTGGAAGAGTTTCTACACGAGGATATATTGTCATAAATTACTGCTTTACTGCATTTTTATTACATTTTGCCTGTTTTGTTGACATTTTCAAAAACTTCTACTTCTACTTCTGTTTGAAAATTTATATGCTTTTTATATACCTGGACTGTTGAAAAAATAAGGTAAATGTTCAATTTTCAGGAGTTTTTGCCACATGGTGGCCACATTGTGGAAAAACAATCCATGGCTTTTGCATCACGATAATCCATCTGCTAACCCGTCTTTTTTTTTGTCAAAAACAACACCGGAACCATGCTCCAGCCACCGTACTCAACAGACTTAACCCCCTGTGACTTTTTTCTGTTCCCAAGATTGAAGAGACCCATGAAAGGACGGAGTTTTGCGACGATTGAGGAGATATTGACGAATAAATGAATATTTTTTGAGAAAAATGAAAATTCACTTCAATTTTTGAGCAGACAAGGTACTTTAAATAATAATGCCTTTTTGACTATTGTGTTGTGTGCATTTTTGGACGAATGAATCCTATTGTGTTCTATTTTTGGTGACACAGTCATTAAACTGTATATAAAAATGAATTATTAAAAATTAAAAAAATCAAGTATAGGAAAAAGGCCCATTTATCATGTAGAAATAGTAATAATGATAGAAATGATAATTCATGTTAAATTTCAACCACTTGGCAAATACTGACTATGCCATATTATTTCAACTTTTTTTTCTAGAATTAAAAAAACAAAATATTTCATAAGAGGCATTTAGGTGTTACAATAATAATAATAATAATATTTGTATAAGTGTTCTTTTACCGTTGTTCATTTCAGTTGAATCTAAAAGAAACCGACGGTGTGAAACTGCGATTGTAGGTAATCAAGTTAAAACTCACATTTTGAACCAATTCTAAATGTGCTTCTCTAGGTAAAGTCTTCTTCCTCTCATTAAAGTGTTGTTGGATATTCGCCGACGGATCCACTTTAAGTTTGGAAGGATCTATATCGGCCTTGGCAGCCTCAATCGCACCAACTACGTTTTGCCTGTTCACCTCATTCGTATCACTGTACAATGGGCATCTGGAAAAATAATAAATTAGTGGATATCGCCACCTAGAGTTCTAACACTTACAAGTGGAATTTATCACCGCCAATACCGTTAAAGTGGCTGTAATCTGTGACCGGTTTTTTGCAAAGGTAACACATTTTTGCTCCACAGCTGCAGGTCATTTTGTTACACCCTTCTTCTTTGAAGAAGCCCACTCCACATTTCCAACACTTTCTGAAAATAACAATTTCAAATGAATGTCAACGTCAATGATTTCAAGATCAACCCCTTACCTGATTAAGGCTTCAGACATTTTGTTTTCCAGGTACAGTCTAGCTTTCAGTTCCTCATCTTTTTCCAACTCGTCACATTTGTACGGTATATGATTTTCTTCTTTACAAAGGCGACAAGACTCTTTCATGCAATCCGGATTGAAGCACCTGAATATTTTATCGTTTTCGACTGGAATGCTCGCGAAATCACAAAACGGACACATCTCAAGTTCTTCAATGCCTGCTGCTTGAATTTCTGCCAGAGTCTTTTTCTGTGCCAATTTAGAAAACATTTTCGGAGGTAATACATTCTGAAACAATATAATTTTGTCTAAGAAAATATATCTTACCGACAAAGAAAAAAAAAGTTATTTATTATACAAGGGAAAAAAGTTTCACTAGTTCGGACTTCCATTGTCTACTATATAAAATGATTTGGAATTCCTGAAACAACTAAAAAAGAAGAATTAAAAATGAATAGCTGAAAATAAGAATTATATTAACCAAAATAAACCTGAAGTGAAATAATAGTGAAATTAAATACAAGTAAAAATAGAACAATTGAATAAATAAAAAAAAAGAAAATAAAAATAAAAAGTGGAGAGATTCCAAGTCACCTTAGTTCACGACGTTTCGATTATTAGTATCTACAATCGTCTTAGGGGTGATGACTGGACTGATTCCTCCGAGAGATGACTATTTATAGGTCTTGTGTCAAAAGAAATTAGAAATATCATAGTTTGAGGCGAGATTTTCATAGTGAATACAGGTTTTGAAAATGGAAAAGGATTGTTTTCCGAAACGATAACCACTTAAGAAAGCTAAGTATCAATATTCAATTTTTTCAATTGATTTTTTTCACTTTTAGGCAATATTTATGAATACAAGTTACTGACTAATTGGACTTTCCAATAGTTTATATTATGTAGTAACTTTTCGGAGTGAACTAACAGTTTATCCTTTAGTACACTTCAGCAGATTCACTATTGATTCATCTTCTATTTTTTCAGGTCGTGGAAGGTTATAAATCCAAAAAAATAGAATCAAAATTGAGTCCTCCACAAAAAAAAATGTCGTTTAAAGAATATTATGAAGTAATACTTAAATCGCATAAATATCATCAAATGAACATATAAATCCATCAAACTTAATTAAACATCAAATTTGATCGTCACTCAACAGTGAAACTTTCTTCTGAATCACTCAAATTTTTACTTTGTTCTATTTCACCTAAAAGATCATGAAACATTAGAAATACTTTATGAAAAATTGTATTTTGTAAAAATTTCAGCCGGATTTGTTTCAAATATATATTATTAATTTGACGATAATAAATATGCTATAATAAAAACAACATTTTGAAAATTCCTAGGTTGAAATTTCCAATGTGTTCAAAAGTTAAGTCTAAGAAATTATTTTACTATGTACTTTGACTTTATGCTGATGAATTTGCTGATGATACTTCATAGTTCATATGAAAAAACATTTTTCAATTCTTTTTTATCTAAAAAGATGCAATAAACATTGCCAATATATTATTATGAAAAAAAATACCTGTAATGTCTGAAGGGTAAATTCTTCTGGACAATCACACAAACATTTATAAACCGTCTTTCCTTCACCCAGGGTCACTTCACAACTCTTTTGGATGCAGTCCCGGCAAAACATGCATCCCTTGGGACAGTTGAACGTATCTTTGGGCATCACTTCCTCATCAAAACAACACTGACACGTGTTCATTAATCCGTTTTCTTTGGCGTTTTGACGCTCGGTATTTTCTTTTTGTTCTTTTTCTTTAAGGAATGCTTCTATTTCCTTTTTGTGGGTTAAATAAGCAAGCTGTAACAAATAGTTTCATAGGTTTATTTGTCAAATATTCTGAAATACACGTCATGTTTATCATGTTTAGTTTGTTGGTGAGGGCATAAAAGTTAGAAGTGTTTTGCGTGTTAGGCGATTTTCTGCTATCGAAAAAAATGGAACAAAGAATTTGCATAAAATTTTTTGTAAATAAAATAATGAAAAAAAAAACTTCTAAAACCAGCTTTTATTTAAGTGCCCTAAAAAGATCAAAATAAAATTTTAAATCACAATAACCACATTCATTTATGACTGTAATGTATGTGGATGGCCATTAGACAATGATACAGTGGCGGAGTATACGGAAAAGGATGAAGAACTCCAGACCATTTTGAAATATGTGAAGGACGGTTGGCCTCGGAAGGTAGAAGGGCTCCAACCGTATGAAAGAAGGAAAAAAGAACTCGAGGAAGATAATAGATGTTTGTTGTGGGGACATCGGGTCATCATTCCAAAAAGGTTACGAAGACGAATGTTAGAAGAGCTTCACGAAGGACATCTGGGCATGGTGAAGACTAAGAGTCTAGCAAGATCGTACCTATGGTGGCCAAATTTGGATTTGGACATTGAAGAAAAGGTGAGAACCTGCCAAGCGTGTCAAGTACATGCAAGTAATGCACCAAGAGCAGAGTTGTCGCCATGGCCGATTACAACGGGACCCTGGGAAAGAATACACATGGACTTTTTGGGACCAATGAGGCAAATGTATTTTCTTGTTATAACAGATGCTTATAGCAAATGGTCAGAAATATTTCAAGTGACAACTACAACGAGTATAGAAGTGGAACGGATATTGAGGGAGGTCTTCGCAAGATTCGGAATACCGAAAACTGTCGTCTCAGACAACGGAAGATCGTTTCAAGTGGAGTGAGACATATAACGTCACCACCATTCCACCCAGAAAGTAATGGAGCGGCAGAAAATACAGTAAAAACGTTCAAAGCTAAATTAAAATGTCTGCTGAACGACCCGAGAAATAGGGATAGTCCTACAGAGGTACTGATTTCTCGATTTTTGATAACTTATCGCAATGCAGAACATTGTACTACCCGGAAGTCACCAGCTGAAATGATGTTTGGACGTAAGGTTAGAACGAGGATAAGCCAGGTCGCAAACATCACACCATCTGTGCAGGAGGAGGTACAGGAAACCTTGAGGAAGGCGCAGGAAAGACAGATTATGTCAAGGGGAGGACACAGAAGAGATTTAACCCCTGGAGAAGAAGTTTGGGTGAGGGATTATCGAAGCACAAGCTCGAGAATCTGGAAAGCAGCTCGAATAGAAACGAAGATAGGCAGAAGACTGTACCTGTGCAAAACACTTGAGGGAATGCTATGGAGGAGTCATATAAACCAAATCCGAAAAGCTCAGAGGGGAGAGAGGCATGTGACAGGGGAAGACGACGGAGAACAGGCAGGTAACTTGTTTGAACAAATTGAAAGGGTCGATAATCATGATTTACAGGGCCAAAACCGTAAGGTTACTAATACACTGGACAAGGGTGGTAACCAGACCCGAATCGGAAGGTTGCCACAAGAAATTGTTGAAATCGAGGAACCATCACAGAATGGAGCTTCCGGAGGTCAGCAGAGTCCAGAAAATGGTGACAGTCCTAAAAATGACTGCAATGGTTTAGGTATTGTAACAAGTAGGAACATTTTAGATAGTGAATTTGAGAACTTCTTTTCACATAATGTTAAGATAGGTCAGAGTAACACGTTACTTACTGAAGCTCCGGTACGTAGGTCAGAAAGATTACGCAGTAAAGGTAAAACACAAGTTTCTAGTTAAGGGGAAAGGAATTGTAATGTATGTGGCTGCTACGCCACTGATCTAGGGCTAAGGGCGCATGCCAGGAGAACAGTCTCCAGGTTAGGAAACGCTGGGGGAGTCAGTATCAATCGGCGGCTGTGTTTGTATCTATGAGATGTGCAAAATGTAATATGGTCGTACTCCTTGTATATATATATATATATATATATATGTGTGTGTGTGAATATCTTTGGATATTATCGATGTCAATAAACCTGTATCCAATATCAACGGCTTTAATTCCACCACCACCTACATAACAATGACTTTACAGAATTGAAATTATAATAAAAACTTGTCGCGATAATTTCAATTTGTAATTGAAAATTTGTAATTAGGTAGACACCTACTAAACTTGTAAGCAATTCATAATGTTTGTAATTAAATAAAAGTGCCGTGAATGCTTAAAATGTGGAACTTTAACCTTGAATAATTTTTGTGCATACATAGGATTTATTGGGTTTGAAATTTAAAATTTTATTTAAATTTCATCTGACTGAATATGTAGATATTTCTTCTAGGCCAACGTATTCACCAGATTTGGGCCCTTGGAACTTTTCTCTGTTCACAAGACTGAAGACGGCGTTTTACGACGACTGATGAGATAAATACTGAATTGCTGAGAGAGATCAAGGTCACACCAAGAAATACATATCAGACAAAATAGAAATTGATAAATAAATAAATATTTTTTGAGAAAAGTGAAAATTCACCTTATTATTTGAAAATTCGAATAGACATTTTCTTAGTCGAAACATGAAAGTCATTTTATGAGATACTTTAATTTTATCCATATTCAACTACTGGGATATCGTCTATTGCCCTTGTCTATCAAATCACGTCATCAAAAATACAGGAAGCACATGTGCATGTACAAGATTGATTTTTGGTTTAGAATTTAGATATCATGTATCTCCCTTCATACAACAAATAAAACAATATCTTCTAAATAAGATGACATACAGACGTAATATACATGATAGAAGTCTCAAAAACTGGATTAAATATTCTATCCTGCAGCACAAAACCAAAGAGTTTGAGCAATCCTTCTTTTATTAGGCCTTCACTATCTTCAATAATATCAAAGAAAATATGAAACAGCTTTCTTCATTATCTTTCAAATATGAATAATGATCTTGAAATCGAGTGACAAAAAAAAAGTTCCTCGGAATATTTCCCGTTTCGGTTCATTTATCAAGTTTCCTGAAAATCATTTTACAATTAACTTGATTTGTATGTATCTAAGTATGTATGCTTGGTTGAGTGGTGAACTCCGCCAAGTAAAATAAAGGCCATTCATTATTATTATTGAATAGAGCAAACAAAATAGGGACTAATGAGATTTGACTACCTTTACAATTTCGACAGAAATTTCATTCACACTTGTAGTTTCTCTCAGAATTCTATTAGAAGCTTCAGCGATTGTTAGTAAAATAAATAATAGCTTAAAAAACCAAAAAAGACATGCTTTAATAGCAACACAAACTAAAAAATAAAATATAATTTAAAACTAATTCAAGATTGTGTTCAACATCGATAATAAGTCCTATGGCTTGATGTAACTAATGACTTTCAATAAGTCTGAAATCAAAATGAAAAATTAATGTTGTTGTAAAAAAACCTGTGGTGCTAAATATCCATTGTTATAAATATACTTGGTTAGAACTGTTTGACGGAATGGCACCCCACGCTTTTTTACAACAAAATTAATTTTTTTGTAAATAGATTTATCCTGATTTCAGACTTATCAAAAGTCATTAATTGAATCAAGCCATAGGACTTATTATCGATGTTGAACACAATCTCAAATTAGTTTCGAATTATTTTTTAGTTTGGCTTGCTATTTCAAGCTCATTTGTTTTAATATAAAATATACGGTGCATTTCTTTAATGTCCCCCCCTTTTATTTTTTGAACGGGTCAGCTCAAAAAATTTAAATTTGGGATAATGAAATTAATGCATGAATTTTGAAGTGAAATTGACAGATGTAAATTTCAAGATGGCGATTGGACGCCATCACCTACTACAAAATGGCGGAATATTCAATAATTTCCTGAAGACAAACACATTAATATCGATATTTCTAGAAATATCAATTTTTTATCTGCCATATAGCAATTCCAACAACCCGATAAGGTTTGTTGAGTTTTTTGTTTATAAAAACGACGAAAAATGTCAGTATGACAATGAACATCATTGTTCAGTTAGAATATTCTCATTTAGTTTTCGGTTTTACTAGTAGAAAGGTACCACGTCAATATTCTCTAAAATGATCGATTCTCGTCCATTGGAAGAAAAAATTGAAACGATTTTTATTTACGGTGCGACCCGTAACTTTTACGAGACCGAAAGGATTTTCAATGAACATTTTCCGAATCGTCCTATCTGTAGAAAATATTTGAGGGAACTTGTATCCAAATTCACAACTACCAGTAGTGTACATAACAAAAAGCCCCCAGGTCATCCGTCCATTCCGGAAGAACAGCAAGTACAAATAATTGATGAGATGGTAGTAAATCCAGAAAAGTCTACGTATTCCGTCGCGAATGTTTGTGAGGTGTCTCTTCTACTGTGTGGAGACTTTTGAAGAGGAATAGGTATCATCCACATAAAATGAAAATGGTACACCAATTAACTGAAGATGACCCTGATCGAAGAACAGAATTGCATGGCATCCTACCTATCTCCACAATAGTTGATTTAGTGACGAATGTACATTTTTTTAAACGGCAGTGTTCAGACAAAATTGCCGTTATTTGAGTGACATTTGCCGTTATTTGAGTGACACCAACCCTCACGTTTTCCGGGAAACACATACCCAATATCCAGAAAAAATTAACGTTTGGGCAGGAATATTGGGAAACCATATTGTCGGACCTCTAATTATTGATCAAAATTCAACAGGGGAACTGTATTTGAATATGCTGGAAACTTCTGTTGACCCTCTCATCACTGAAATCGTCGAAGCGAATCCTGACGAATTCGATATGGATATTGTATTCCAACAAGATGGAGCACCACCACATTATTCCAGACAAGTAAGAAACTATTTGGATACTACTTTTCCCGGTCGTTAAATTGGCCGTCGAAGGTCCTACTGAATGGTCAGCCTGCTCGCCAGATTTCACACCTTTGGACTTTTTTTTATGGGACTATTTGAAGCAAAAGGTGTACGAAACTGAACCTGCTTCAATATAGGATATACGGCAGAGAATAATAAATATTTGTACAGATATTGACGTTACTGTGTTCGAAAATGTTCAGCGTGAAATATCGGATAGATTTTTCATATGTCAAGAAGTTCAAGGCAACCATTTGGAGCATTTTCTGAACTGATCTCAAGCTTATGTTAAATGTCAATGGATTCAGGCAATTATTAAAAGTTCCGCCATTTTGTAGTAGTTGAAGATATTGACATTATATTGTAGGGTTGTGAAGCATTTGTCAGGAGCTTCAGAAAGATGTGTCACAAGACCCCCCTTTCCATTTAATTTTTTTTCCCAGATGGCGCCCAGTCGCCATCTTGAAAGTTTAATCTGTCAATTTCACTTCAAAATAAAGTATTTATGCATTAATTTCATTATCTCAAATTTCAATTTTTTGAGTTGACCCGTTCAAAAACTAAAAGGGGGGACATTAAAGAAAAGCACTGTATATGCAAGCACAGACAGTGTGGTTGTCTCACTTGCTCTCACACAGAGGATGTGTGAGGAAATTATTTAATCCTGGCTATCCTGATCAGGATAATGAGATAAACTTATGCAATTATTGTATTGTTACAGATTCTTGATAAGTACAGCTACCGGACTAAGTCATGACCGGTGAGAAGCCCCTCCCTCAAGATCTGCAGTAGATGTGTGGAAATCTGTTATCAGTCTGTCAGATTATTCAAGCCGTACTATGTAATATTGCAAACAGAAGTTTCTATTCCTTTTTTCCTAATACTTTCTTTGTCGCACACCGACCCAAACTTCACGCAGATACGATTTCTCCCACCGCCCATGACTCAGTCCGGTAGATGTATACAAAGTTCAAAATACATATGTTCGTTTAAAGTTAGTCAAAATCGAGTCCAAAAGAGACGGTTACAAACAAATAAACATACAAGTGAAGCTAATATAAGCGTGTTATAAACTCACCTCTTGTAATACCATGATGTTCTGGGGAGCATCCAAATGACAGCGTTTTCGCTTGGAACGCATCACATGTACTAGTGCGGCTTTAGCCATATGTCTGTCGATATCAATTATCCTCATTTCATTCTCGCTGATAATATTTTTTATCACTTTCAAAGGGAGTTTATCGTACTTATTCTGGAAGAAATTGATTATGTACAGACTAGTATAGTGATCTACTTGCACGGTTCGCTTGGGGTCTGTAAAAGTTTTTTCGGGTTCCGGGAAGAGCTGAACGAAATTTTCAACGCTGAAATCTGTAGTGTACTGCTTTGACTGGGCTGACAATTTCTGTTTCCTGAGAAAAGAAGTAAGTAACAGAAACTTCGGACGAACTTCTGAAATATAACAACAGCTGTTTCATCATTAATACATTCGAAAAGTTCACGCTTTCCTACAGACAATTTGCTTTGTGAAGCCGGTGTTTCTGACATTCGTCAACTCTTTTATTTCAATGTAATTTTAATGTACCACAAGAAGAAAATTTATGTCTCACCGTCACACGATGGGGAATGTTCCTCAATTTGGGTTATTACAGCAAATGCAAGTTTGAACAGAATAAAGTTAAGTTTTATTCATGAGTTTTTCAAATTCACTTCGAAAAGTATTCAAGTTGATGTTTCACATGTTGAGTTTTAATTTTTAAAGGGATTTGTTTCTAATTCACATACTGGCAACAGCGCCTATATAAAGTTGAAATACTTTATACGTACCTAGATATTCTATTAAAAAAAGGAAAATTATCTTTTTAAGGCTATGTTTTGTCCAAACTATCATCAAAATATCAACTTTTCATAAATTGAGAGTACTGATGTACTTAATTTCAATTAAGGCTATGTTTTGGACTATATTTAGCACAATTTATTTTTTTATCGAAAACAGATAGAGATAGGTATAGGACATTATTAACAAAAAAGTATTAAAATACCAGAGCGATTCCAAAAATGTATTAATATACGGGGTATTCCATTAAAAAAAATATAATTGCTAGGACTTTTTGATAGAAGTGGCAACGCCGCAATGCTGAAAATATTTTAGATCGATAAAACAGGTAAGGAAATATGAGAGGTGAAATTTTCAGAAAAATCATGCTTTGCGTTTTCCAGAAACGTCTAACCTATCATCGGCCGTGAGTCACGCTGTATATGTAGTACATCAGGATTGTCCATTTTACCTTATTCATTTATTATAATTTCTAACACATCGCTTATAACATTTGTGGCATTTAAATGTCATATGAACAATCTTATACCACTCACATGCATCAACCATTGTATTAATTTATAGTTATACATTTATATGTGTCCGCGCGAATGATTAGTAAACATTTATTTTTAGATTTAGACAAGTCTATTATTTATAAGTTTTATTGCATTGTATTTTATTGAAACAAGTGTGGAAAACACTTATAGAGTACCCATTTATTCACCTTTATCTTCTTACCACATTGTTCTGTATTCTTCTTTCCTACGTGAATGAATATTATTATTATTATTATTACTCACCGTAAATATTCCTTCATTGTAGGGTAATCTTTAGCTTCCCTTGCTGTACAAATGAATTCATTCAACCGTTCAGTATCGTTTCCAATCGTTTCACACATGCATCTTAAATAAGTCGGGTCTGCATCAGGTAGTAATGCTTTGACTATTTCCAGTTGTTCTTCTAAATCTACTTCCACTGGAGGACTAGGAGCTCTTTGTTGCCGCAGAGGATAATTTTCAGCTTGAAAAATAATTGAAATATTCATATTAAGCTATTGTACAGCGAAACATGTCGCGGTTTTTGTAAAACCCTTTATAGTTGAAATCATACAATAAACTGTTGTAACGAATCTGAAGCCGCCCCTGACCAATATGCCGGCCGACTCAGCGAACAAACACATGACATCACCGCGAAAGAATGCAGCCGGGAATCGCCGGTAAAATTCTAGAACCGAACCGACTACAGATTTCTAGAAAGGACCGTTACCGATATAAGCACGGCTTTCCGACCCAAGAGGGCAGTTCAGAAAGTGAATCGAGCGGCTAAACAAGAAGTTCAAATAGTGGAAATGAATTAAGTGTCAGTTGCTAAGTATTGTAAATAAATTAGTTTGTGATTAGTGAAATATTGTTGGAAATAAATTTGTTTTAAGACAGTTAATTTTTTAATTTGTTACACTGTATTAATGAGTATTTATTACTGTTTATTTTGAATGAGTATATACAAATATTTACAAGAAGATGAAAATGTGTTCCGTGTGTTGTTGAATTTTTTTGATGAAATTAAACCAATATCTGAGAAAAAGGTTTTAATTTCATTTGTTATGCCCTTTTCATTGGTTAGTATTAAACATTCTATGAACAGACTTCGATCTAAAACGCCAAATTTAGAATGTATGAGGGCTAAAACAGTATCATTGAACTTGGTAATTTGGATTCGTTCAGTTAAATTATCTTTGAACCAAGAAATAACTTTCCCACTTATAAATTTATTTTAATTTCAGTTGGTATGTATTGCATTTTTTTAAGTATGTACTACACAAGCTTTGTCTACAAGATTATGTCTTATGACAGTAAAGCATATTATTATTATAGAACAGGTATCTATGGTATAGCTTTATAAGTATGATTAGTTTGATCTTCCTTTTGAAGATGATCACTTTGTGATCGAAACACGTGTCGAGGTGTTAAAAATAACGGTTTGGTGTTGGGAAAAAACTCCAGTAATATTCTTTAGTTTTATCATAATTCGACCTACATGCACAATGAATATTTGGTTCAACAGACATCTTTATCAATAAGACCTAATGTTCTTTGGGCAATGAAGAAAAATATTATTATTATTAACATCAAAACAGGCTGCTAAGGTACCCTTACGAAATGTTTTATCAACTTTATAATTCTTCTTGCTCTATTGAAAACCTATTCGAACTGAAAATAAACTCACTGGACAATATCACGGTTACAACATCATCAAATTCTGACCATTTCCTGTTTTCACTCACACTCCTAATGAAATTTGGACAAGCTTGGGGAAACATTTCGATAAGCCTCAACACCAATTTTTCATCGACCACTTTCCTTTTCTTGACTGTGCTAGATCCATCAGGATCAACTTCCTTAAGAGGCCATTTCGAATAATCCAGTGGATGAGATTCGGGATTAACATCCATGACATAATTAGGCAAAACCCTGAAAATTGAAAATTACCTTGTCAGCAAAGAGTAACGGAATTAGAAATAATAATAATAGTGTGCCGAAAACAATCGTCGCTGTCTGTGAGAGTGAGCAGGAGAATCCGAACCAACCGATTTCGCGTCGTGACTTGGGCCTGCATATGTACAAAATTCAACTGACGCAGGCAGGCCAGGCCATCATTGTCAACGGCGAGCCCTATAGGTTGATGATTACCAACTTCTTTTGGGCTGGACACCAACGAATTGTGATTTCATCAGGACGGCGCTACGTGTAACACAGCTCATGCCACATTGGATATTCTGCACGAGTGATTTGAGAGCATGGTCATCTTACGTGGAGGTGATGTGAACTGGCCACCAAGATCTTACGACCTGATCCTGTTAGACTTTTTCTTGTAGGGTTTTCGTAAGTCGCAGGTGTATGGGAATAAGCCACAAATCGCAGCGGTCCTCAAAACCAACATAACCTATGCCGTCGGTCAAACTCAGCCTGATTTATGCGCCAGTCATGGAAAATTGGATGTTTCAGATGAGCTCCACCCACACAAGCCGTGGTGGACATTTGAACGATGTAATATTCTACACATAATAGCATCAATAGGTCTTTCTCATACTTTGTTTTATTTAAATTTAAAGTTAGGAAGCGTATAATGAAAGACCCTATAAAAATTTAAATAAACAAAAACTTCCCTTAAAGATTCCTTTACCGATTATTTTTTTGAGTGTCGTTTGAGCTACTTTGAATTGTGTCAAACACAATTCAAAGTAGACTAAACAATTCCAGTCAGATTTTTTAAATTCCTTATTATAACGAGTTCCTTAGCTTCTTGGAATCAATGAATTTTTAAAGTTAAATTCTCGGATATTTCTCTTTACATTAGGTATTATTTATAGCTGCAGAGTAATAATAATAATAATGATTTACGGGGTATCCTTTACATTGTTCTGCAACTAAAAACATAAAATGCAACAATGTCAGACAGATTGTACGAACATTAAAAAAAAAAACCATCACTATGCAGTAGGAATAGAAACATCTTGATATAAAACGAAGTTAACAGTAATCCAGATATTCCTGAATTGAATATGATTCCAAATCTATAAGGAAATCTTTCACATATTTTTGAAATTTTTTAAGGCTCTCACAGGATTTGATATTTTGTGGTAATTTATTGACAAACTTTTTTGCTTTTCTGTTAATGTTAGTCTATGAATAGGGAGACACATATCTGCATTCCACAAAGGGTAAGTATGATTTGATCCTGCTTCTAAGAACTTAATTTTATGTTTGAATAAGTACATTACACATTCATAAATGTACATGTACCGTCATTGAATAATTATCATCTCAGAATTTGCCCCAACAAGATTCACTGTACTTCATTTTGAACATAGTTCTCATCACCCTTTTTTGAATTCCAAATATATTCGAGATGCCACTACAAGATCCCCAGCATAAAGTACCAAATTTTGCGGAAGACTCAAAATTTGCTGCATATATGATTTTTAATAATTTTTTGTTAAGATAACAACCTATCAAGGAGATTATACAGCGCCGTCTGCCAGCGAATAGATCAAGCAATAATGCCGATAATTCTGTCAATACAGATTTATTTATTTATTTATTTATTCATTAACGGGTAACACCCAATTAAGTTTAAGAGATTTCACAATAAATTATATGAATACAACAAATAATTACATCTAACTTACTTGCTAAAAGTAAAACTAATTTATTAATAAAAAAAAAATAACAGTGAGAAAATAAATTTACTGAATTGAAATATTAATTAAATAAATGAATGATTAAGATAAGGAAAATTCAATAATTGAGGATGTTTATGTTTATATTTACTACCATTTATAATTTATTTCTGAGCGAGCATAGCAAACTTAAACTTTTTTTCGTTCAATGAAAAGAAGTCCAGATCGACTTTATTACCACCAACAACAACTCTAGACAGGGGAGAATGTTTACCGTAGGTACAACGATGAAAATCTACTATTGCAAATGTTTCTGTATTCCTTGTACTTCTAGAAGGAACATGTAAGCCAATTTGTGCTAGCAATGCAGGGCAGTTAATAAGAGAATTTAATAATTGGAATAAGAGTTTTAAGTCACTTTCCACTCTACGACTACTTAGCTTCATTATATCTGCAACCCTACAAATATCATCTAATGAATGGTCCTTCAAGGGCATTTTTAACTTGAACGCCAAAAATTTAAGAAATTTGTTTTGTACCCGTTCAATGTTAAGTGCAGGACTTTCATAGGTGGGTGACCATATGGAACTGCAATAATCTAAAACTGATCTTACCAGAGTGAAATACAGCATTTTTATACATTCAATATTAGAGAAGTCCTTGGAAGTATGACAAATGAAGCCTAGCATTTTTGTTGCTTTGTTCATAATATAATTATAATGTAGGTATAAGTCCAGTTTTTTATCCATCACTACTCCTAAATCAGTTACAAATTCGACACGTGTTAAAAGTTCTCCCGATATGTAGTAATCATAGTTTACAGGTGTAAGTACTCGATAGTACGTCATAATTTACATTTATTCACGTTGAGATTCATATCATTTTGTGAATACCATTCACTAAATCTGTCTGTAATACTAAGCAATCATCTGGTGTTTGAATTGTCTTAAACATTTTTAAATCATCTGCAAAAAGTAAGATGTCAGTATATTTTAAGTTAACTCTGATATTATTAATAAAAATATTGAAAAGAAACGGCCCTAGATGGCTTCCTTTTGGTACACCTGATAAACCATTAATTTCGTGAGATATGTATTCCTTGACTGTTACATATTGAGATCTGTTACTAATATAGCTTATCAGCCATTCCAATAGTTTTCCACAAAATCCAATTGCTTTCAATTTCTCACATAAAATTGAATGGTTCACTGTGTCAAATGCTTTGGAAAAGTCAGTATAAATGATCCCGAGCTTGAGAGTTACAAACAAACATACATACATACAGGTGAAGCTAATATAAAGCGTGTAAAAAAGATTGCTATAAATATAACTTACCCCAATTCATTTTTTCCTGCGCTTCGTTTTCGTGTCGATTCTACTTCCATTAATGGTTCGATTCTAGATGATTTAGGTTCATGAGTGAGAGTAGCCGGTTTTATCAAAGGGCGATTCAAAGGATTCGTATGGAGTCCACCAGCTTGTGGTGGATCGATAATGGGCAAGATGTGTGATCCGAGATCTCTCCAACTGGTTGAAGGGTCTGGCCTGAATGTATTAATAGTAACTCTGGGATCAGTACTCGTTGAAGGGACAGACTCCAACGCACTTTTATGACCTCTCGAATCAGAACTGGTTGAAGTGACAGACTTTAACCCACTATTATGATCTCTGGAGTCAGAACTGGTTGAAGGAACGGACTCCAACTCTCTGGAATCAGAACTGGTTGAAGGGGCTGGCCCAAATGTAATTATAGTATTTCTAGGAACAGAACTGGTTGACGGGACCGACTCAAACATATCTATAGGAACACTGGGTTGGGAACTGGTGGAAGGAATCATCCTGAATTCATCTAGCATAGGATTTCTAGCATTCAAGCTTGTTGAGTTTGATATAGGCACCTGAAGATTCTTGGGTTCTGAACCGAGTCCAGGCAATCTTAATTTGGGTTCGTTGATAACTGGAATTTTAGGTTGTAAGTTCTTACAACCGGAAGGCAATTTGAATCGAGGGTCAATGCTTTGGGAATATGTTGGGAGATTTGGTCTACCCATTTTTGAAAAGTAGAAGTCCCTGATTTGATGGATGTAAGAATTGGTCCCAGAAGTGGTGGGTAACAAATTATCCTCGATGACAGGATTTTTTCCAGTTGATGTTTGCGTAGATTGACAAGAAGAACTAGTAGAAGTTATTGATGAAGGTACTTTCAATCTGGGTGGTCTGATAACGGTATTCATTGTGGGGGTTAATTCTTTGGCATTTTGATTGATGGAGGCTGTTGTTTCAGGATTCATATCTGCTTCCGATTCCGAGCTTTCGCCACTATCATCTGAACTGTAAAAAACTTTGTATTTGAACAAGCAAAACGATAAGAAAAAATTGATGGGGGGATTTGGAACCACTGGCATAAAATGAATCTAATGAAAACATCAGAACAAAAAGACAGTCTTTTGAAGAGCATCATGAGAAGATGGTATTGTCAAACTAGAAACATGTGTATTTTTGTAATTATTCAATCCTAATCTATATGTATGATGATTTTTCTTAAAAGGCTTGTGTCCTTTTTCCAATGAATTCAGAGGGTGAGGTAAGAGATCATTGGATTCAAGAAACATACGTCCTGAGTGAAAGAAAGGAGCAAAGAATAATAGCCTTCTGTATGGGTAAGGTTTTTGATATAGCGCATACAATTAGAATGATATTGATGATAAAGAGTGGGGAGAGCATCATTCCACCAAGGACTCCAATAATCAGAACAACCATCTTGACAGAGTGGTCTGAATAGAGTCTGCGTAGTTCGAAGAGAAAAATCTCGATATTTTTCCTCCTTTTTTTGGACGATATTCGCCTCACTCAAAGCTGAAAACTTCAAGGTGAATATCGTCTTATGTTGATGACCGGGGAGAACTACATAATTCAAAATCGGCAAATCTCATTCCTCACAACAGATTCAATATTCCCCACAATATTACTATTATTATTTTGTTTCATTATTATCAAATAAAATATAAATACACATATTATATGAAAAGCTGATTAATTTGATGACCACCATTAAAATAGGAAACTTCAAATTGCGTGTTGAAGGTTTTCTAATTTTTCCGTCAAATTATTGAAAAGAAAACAATCTTGAAACAGCTCATTCTTTATCTTGTTGGTATAAATTATATCAAGATGGAAATTTTTTTGAAACGTTTTGCAATATAATATATTGAATATTTATATATTGTCATATTTATTGCTTCATTCTGCAAATTATACTTTTTCATCATAATACGAGGGTGATCTCTGCAAAATAATTGTTCATGAAGGTGATTGTCTCTTCGATTATCGGAAATCTGTCCTCCGAGCACATTTTTAGGTGAAGGAACAAAAATAAGTCACTTGGGGCTAGATCTGGTGAGTAAGGCGGATGGTCAAGCAGTTCAAACCGTAATTGGTGGATTTTCGGTATAGCAACCGCTGAGATGTGAGACGGTGCGTTCAGGGCCGTAGTGAAAAGAAAAACCGGGGGGGAATCCAAATTTTCCCAACCCCACCAGCAAAATTTCCCAACTTTCGAAAAAATGAAAGCTGAGGGATTAGTTACTATCATAATATATTAATTTTCTTACTTAGCTATCCAAAGATTGGCTGAATACTTATGCCCGTTAGGATATGCACAAACAAAAATAAATTTTGGTAATTATAAAAAAAATAATGGGAATTACTCTACTTTAGACCAAGATCATTGGTCTTCCACCATATCCACCCTGTATAGGAATATTCAATACAAATGTTTATTGTTTTCTACTATTATTTTTTCTATCTTCACGGCCCGATATTTCCCAACTTTTCCAAGTTGAAAAAAAACAGCGAAAAGTTGGGAATTTTGTAAAATTGTCGCTTCAACATTTTTGGACTGTTCAGGACTGTTCTCTTACTTGGGAGAAATTAAACTTTTTTGTAGTTTTCAAACAACTTAGAATTTCAAAGTATAGGATCTCCAAGTTATGCATGTTGGGAAATTCCAACCTTCTCCTGGTTCTTTCCCTTTTCTTATTACCTCTCCCGTTCTTTTCTCTCATTTTAGTTTTTTAATTTTCATTCATGTTTTTTACTATTATTTTTTTCTATCTTCACGGCCCAAAATTTCCCAACTTTTTCCCAAGTCGAAAAAGCAGGGGGGGAGGTTCCCCCCCATGGCGACGGCCCTGGGTGCGTTGTCGCCGGTTCCCCGTTTGCAGACCACTGTTTGGACTGTATTTTAGTCTCGGGCGAATAATGGTGTATCCAAGTTTCATCTTCAGTAATTAATCGGCGCCAAATAGGATTTATTGCGCCTAAACTGCGCCAAAAGAGCGTTGGAAATGTTCATTGTAACGAGTTTTTGGTTTAACTTGAGCAAACGCGGCACCCAACGCGCGGACAGTTTTCTCATGCATAAATGTTGATTTGATATGTGACAAACAAGTTTCTTTTGATATGTTGATAACCTCTGCTGTCTCTCTCACTCTGGTGATGTTTTAGTCGGTAGTTTCAGTTTTCAAACATCCCGAACGTTCACAGTCTCCCAAGCTCTTATGGCCACGTTTAAATTCAGCTGCCCAAAATTTCACTGTGATGAATGATGGTGCAGCGTCCTCATACACAGAATGCAACTCATCTCTGATTTGTGTGATGTATTTCCTTTCAAAAACAAATATTTAATGACAGCTCGATACTCGATTTTGTATATTTTCATAAAAACACTTACATCAACTCACTCAAACGTCTGTTACATAACAACTGCCCGTCCAAAATGGCTGAAATTCAGATCACCCTCGTACTAGATCATAGATTGACAGTGTCAATAATAGAATTTAGATATCCCAGAAATTGTAGAAACTTGATTGAAAATAAGTAATTTTGTGAAAAGTTAGAAATGTAATGTTAGTACCAAGTGAACTGAAAAAAAAAACTACTCACCTAGTATCTTCCGCCCGATCTTCTGAAAAAAATTCATTTATTTATTTATTTATTTATTCAACGGGTAACCCCCAATTTTTATACAATATATTAACCTTAGAAAGTTAACTATTCTAGTATCTACATATCTAATAAAGCAATCTACATAGAGAAAATGAAAATAAAATTGTGAAAAAAAAAAGTCTTATGAATCTATACCACGTAGAGTCGTAGAGTATATCTAAGAGTGCTCTGAGAGATGTGAAAGAAATCAATATTGGTCCCATTGGCATTCGATAGATTTCTGGACAAAGGAGAATGTTTTGCATAATTAAACCTATGAAAGTTTGGTTGTTACGTGTCCTTCTTGGGGGAACATGCAGATTGACTTGACAGAGAAGAGTTAGGAAATTAATTTCGTTGTTCAACAATTTATGTAGGAATATTAAGTCTGCATGTGCCAGTCTTGTACTGAGTTTGAGCAATCCAATAGTAGAGCGCGAATTTCAAAGAGCGAATGACTTCTAGCTGGCATGTTCATTTTGTAGGCAACATATCTAAGAAATGTATTCTGAACTTTCTCAATACCATAACTGTGGTTGAAGTATGTTGGAGACCAGATACAAGTGCAATACTCAATCACTGATCTAACCAATGGAAAGTATAGTATTTTAATAGAAAAAATGTTGGTAAAATCTTTTGTTGATCTGCATATGAATTGTAACATTTTCATCGCTTTGTTAGATATGTGTTCATACTGTGAATGAAAGTCCATCTTGTCATCCATCATAACACCCAGATCTCGTATAGATTGTACACATTCCAACTTCTTCCCTGCAATACTATAACCAGCTGTATGAAGGTTTAATGACTTTGAAAAAAAATACTTTAACATTTTGCCACATTGACATCCATATAATTCATCTTACACCAATCAGAAAAAGATTTAGGGTCCATTTGAATTTTCACACAATCCTGCGAAGAATCAATTGCTCTGAAAATTTTTAGATCGTTTGCAAACATCAGTATTTCACAGTGAGTAATTTTTTCTTTGATATCATTTACAAAGATATTGAAGAGAAAAGGTCCCAAGTGACTCCCTTGAGGTACTCCTGAGGTAACAAATATCTCGTGAGAGATAATTCCTTTAATTTTCACAAACTGTGATCTATCACAAAGATAACTTGGGAACCAGTCCAGCAAACTCCCAAAAAAGCCAACTGCCTTTAATTTTTCACAAAGAACTTTATGGTTCACGATGTCAAATGCTTTTGAAAAATCGGTGTAAATTACGTCCACTTGTTTTTTATTTTCCAGAGCATTCAAAATATATTGGGTGTACAACAGTAGATTAGTGTTGGTAGTTTTACCTTCACTAAATCCTTAACTAAAAATATATATAAATATAATATTTGTCATCTATAATAAATATCGGTAATCAAAACACTTCCTTACATTATAATTAGATTCTTCAACAAGTAACCTTTCCCTATCAAGACGTCAAAAAAATCATTATTACACACTTGGATCTGCCAAATACTCCTCTAGCTACTACCACGACGGAATCCAAAAAGCATTTGTGTAAATTTCATGACAAAGTACAGCACTTTGTTGAGAAGTTGGATTTACTTGGTCGAATTTGAAAAGATGTGAGATCATGATAAATCCCACTCCCTTTGGACCTACCCACCTACCCCATGTACCAAAACTTCATCAGACATCAAAACAGTTTGATAACCGTGTTGAAGAGAGATATATACTCCAAAAAAAAAGAGTATTGCATACAGAAACTCAAAAGATTAACCTCTGCCAGTTTCATTACACTTACTTACATGCCCATCGGAATACAACTAATTATCTGGCTAATACCACGACGGCAATGGAATTGCCTCCGGAGTAACTGGGAAAATTTTGGAAACCAACGACCGTCGTGATATTAGCCAGGAAAAACAAACTAAATGTTTGTGTGTGTAAAGAGTGCTTTGGCGCAGACAAACAAAGGTATATTTCAAATGAATCATTAGAAAACATTTATTTCATTGAATGTATTACCTAATTTCAAGGCAAAGAGGTTACCATGGATATTGTTAAACAAATCCTCTCAAATGACCATATTACAGATGGTGAAATTATTGCTGAGTTTTCGAATATACCTTCATAGGGCAGCAAAATAACCAGAGGTAATTCAACAGGATGATCACGATAACGACTGGTGGTCATTTAAAATGTTCTAAAATATAATGACATGAGATAAGAAGTTGAACTCACCATCTATAGACATCTCTTCATCTGTATCGTGACTAGAATCAAGTTCAATAACTTCGTTGGTCAATACTTTGTTGAGCAAATCATTTAGAATCCCAACATGGGGTCTTTGGTTTAGGGGAACACGTGCTTCCCGACAAATGGAAATAATTTTTTCGTCTGCTGCTTGAGTAACTTCTTTCAAGTAGCCTACCAAATCAAAAGGTATGGGTTCTGCAATAAAAACACAAGATTAAAGTCTCCTTAAATTCATAATGAACTTGGAATTTCTACATATTTCATGCTATATGTAGCTTTCGATTCAGAGGTTCTCAAACTTATTTCATCTACCGCCCACTTCGAGAATTAATTATTTTCTAGCGCCCCCCAATTTTTTTTACTTTATTACATCTCAAAAATTACAATCGCAGTCATTATTTTAATAATTAAATTATGTGTGTCATGTGAAAATAAGACTTTCTGATGATGGTAATGTAAAACACCATTTTGTAATATTAGGAAAACTTTCATCCATATTATTAAAACAAACATTTCAATTTGGATTTTAAAACTAATCTAAGGTGAAGGATGAATTTGATGATTTTTAACAAGTTTGTTATTATCAGGCTCGAATTTACTCAAAAACAGCCGTAAGTCACCGCGTTCGGTAATCTGCAACCGATTTCTCTTTTTAGTTAGTAACGTTGCCATAAAACTAAATCCACGTTCACACAAATACGATGATGGAAATGCTATCAAAATTCGTTGAAGGATGGACCACCACAATCCAGGGTACAATTGCGGGATTGGCTTTTGTAGCCAAAATTCTTGATATCCATTTTTGAATTTTATTTTTATTTCTTCGTTCAATATCGGTTCTATGAGTTCTTCTTCCAGCTGGGGTGATCCTGCTGTGTTGGCATTTGAAAAAGGATCCAACACCCAGCCTGGTATTTCCAATTTTAAAATGTCCTGGAATCGTTCTGCGAAATCACTGTGGAGGTTCTCCAAATGTTGGCAGTAAACAAGCAAGTCGTCGTTGTTGAAGGATACTGCTGACAAATTAGGGATATTGCGAAACTCGCGTCTGCCGATATTGTTCTTGTATAAGAGCAATTTGGCTACAAAAATTTAGAAGTCTTCAGATGATTGCACAATGACTCTTCAAGGTTTTCATTCAATGTTTTTTCAAAGGAATTTTCTGGATAATATCTGCCGCTGGTTTATGGACCACATAGTTATTACTTCTTTCATTGCCGGCAAAATTAAATCCTCTTCAATAGTGTGTAGGAAGCTCGGAGTCCGTCGTCGTCTAGCTTAGAAGCAGCTAAAAAAAGTTTTGACACAGTTGTCTGAGCTGAGTGTTTCTTTTCCAGTTCTTGAAAATGAGTCACACTTTTGTCTTTTTTATCTGAATGCATTTTATTCAAATGATTTTGTAGCCTTGAGGGTTTCATCACTTCATTCGAAAATGTTTTTTGACAAAGAAGGCACATAGGCAAAGATGAATTTGTGGGTTTTTTAATAAGTCCATATTTTATATATTCCGCGCTAAACTGCCGTTTCTTCTTTTTTGCTTCCGACATAATTTGGTCTTCAAAAATGCCGAAGTAAATAATCCAGTATTAAAAACTGGCTAATGACACAAATCAGTATTCACCACCGCACGTACAGTACTTTACCTAGCTAGTCGCTAACTAAAGTCACTTGTTTTCATAATATCGTCGAATGACATTACTGGCTGGATGGCGCGCGCGCTTATATAAGGCAGCAGGCCTAGTACTTTCGAGAATGGAGACTAGAAACTTCTCGCTTCGCATTGAAGCTTACCGCCATCTATTGTACAGTTTGTCAACTATCGGACAGGAAATTACTGTCTAGTCCCCAGTTACTGTCTAGTCCCCTAGATGGCGATACACGAGGAAACGCGCGTTAAGCCTAAAGGAGCGGTAAAGTTTGTGCTGAAAGAAAAAAAAAACATTTTTAAGTTAGCCATCGCCCCTAAATCTTCTCTGTGCCCTTTACTGCCCCCCTATAGGCCTCCAGCGCCCACAAGAGGTCGTTATCGCCCACTTTGAGAAAAACTGTTTTAATTGAAATTTACTAATAGCGTGAAACACTTCAACCATTTTTAAACAATCAGAAGTACCAAATATTCCAAAATTAAAGTAGATTACTCGTGATTTCGTGAATTTTTTTGACATTGGTGAAGAAATAATTGATTCAATTCAAGACCCGCTGCACATGGGCGTTTAATTCAACTTCCTGTTTATGGAAACCTAAAAAGTAGTGGGTAAGGGTAAGGTGTTTTCACCTGAACTTGAATATGTCATATGCACCTCTCAGGAAGATGTTATTCTGACTCCCACCCCGGAGTATGTGTTTGTGGAATTGTTTTCAGACTTTGTCCGCAGGTGGCGCAGTGGTACATCCTACTGAATCAGCTGCAGATTAAGCTTATGACTAGTTGGAATCAATTTTGTTTGTTCGGGCCATGCGATTACTGGAAGCAGGGGTCCCACAAGGTGCAGTCCTTTCGCCACACCTCTTCTTGGTATACACAGCAGACGTGCCCAAGCCGTAGAACAACTTTAACAAGTTTGCGCTCTACGCGGCGACACAGCTCTGCTAGCGAGATCAACAAGCCAAACGCACGTCACCAGATACTTGCAGCAACAGGCAGATAGATTAGAGAAATGGGCCAACCGGTGGAAGATCAGTATAAATCCTGACAAGTCAGGCACCCGGAGAATGGTAAACCCGGAATGAAATGTCACCTTCAACGGACAAGAGATTCCGTGGACCAACGAAGCTAGATACCTGGGAGTCAACCTAGACAAAAGATTAACGTTCAGGTCTCAGGTACGGCAGAGAATAGGAATAATAGGTCGAATAAGTAACATGGGATTGAAAGTGAAGCTGCTGTTGATGAAGACCGTAATATTACCGATAATCCTGTATGCCTGCACTGCCTAGGGCCAGTGCGCAGCGACATACAGAAGACAGATCCAGTCGTTTATAAACACGTGCATAAGGGTCGCCGTAAACGCTCCAAGATATGTACCAAATAGGTACATATTCCGGGATCTAGACCTGAACATACACTACGTAGACGCATGCATGAGAAAACACGCAGAGGACACGTTTGACAGAATTGGAGTGCATGACAAGCCAGTGCTAAGCGATCTACACAATGTACTGAACAGTGATGACCCCAGATTCCGAGATAGAAAAAAACACAGGAGGCCAACGAAGCAGAACCAGAGACCACCCCCGACAGTCGCTGTCAGGCGGCTCCGGTAAGTAAGACGGTTCACTCTGAACAAAGGACTAAAATCCCTTTCCAACAAGGTGCCACACGACCCCCTTTGCTATTTAAAATTTTCGAGGGGGTGCTTATAATTCAGAAGGGGTGCTGGAGGGGGATAATATTTTCATACTGTAAATTGTCAATTTAAGAATAAAAATCGGCCTATTTCAGGGTTTTTTCACATAGTACATAATAATCTTAAAAATGAATTTATTCCATACATATGGACCGCACTATAGATCTACACATGGTAATTAAATATTGTAATATGAACATCATACATAGATTAAATATTTAATAGGTAAAAATGCTCTCAATTCACATAAGGTTTCACTGACACTCTGGATGTACTAAATAATATATATATTTCATATAATGTATTGGGAACAGTAGCCGGTTGGGTTACCATGGGTGGTTTGCTCCACCTACTCAATCGACCGCTGTGTAAACCGGTGGTTGAAGCCGCGAGACCGGACGATCGATTTTCACTTCCTATCGTCCAACCCGTGCCAGGAATCGCACGTTGAAAGGTAAGACCTCGTATAATGGTCCTTGTGAAAAACAAGGTGTGCTCAAATTCAAGCCACAAACGGACATTGTTTGGCCTTGGGACTTATTAATAGTCATTGCAAATATCAATCTGATTATAAACTGCACACGTTTAAAATTAATTGGCACATCTGTAGGTAGGTATAATAGGGATTCGTGATATTGATATATTTTCACCTCGGAGGTTGCCATTTGAAATGCTGGCTTCGACAACAATTTTCATTAATTTTTCAATGACTAATCGCGTGCCGTTGTGCAGCCGTGGTGGAATCAAATTACGGAGCAATCCAACCTTAAGTTGAATCCAACCTTAAGTTGTAAAGTATGCGGTGGCATACCTGGCAAATCCAATGAGTTCAAAAACTCTGTTGGATAATTCATAGCTTCGGTGGCATCGCGAACTGTATGTACGCTGGATGGATAAACAATAATAGTGGCTGAAAACTGTGTAGTCGGTTAGAGAAGGCTTATTGTGTGAGAGAGACCGGCTTCGTTCTCATCCCTACTCCGGGCTGTTTATTGAGTGAGAAGTGACACCTGGCGGGAATAACTGATCTATGATTAAATTATTGAATTGACCATTAAAAAATAGGGGTTAATGATAGAAGAGTAAAAATTGAGGGTTGTATGTATTTTTAATGACACATTATAAAAAAGAAAAACAAAAAACTTTGTCAAAAAATTAAAAAAATGTTTGGGGTGGAACACCCTTATCACTTAGGGGTATGAAAAATAAATTAAAACCTATTCTCAGACCTACCGAATATACATATGGAATGTCATGAAAATCGGACAATCCGTTTCCCAGAGGTATGGCAACTAACAATATGACAAGAGATATTTATATATTAGTTATATAATGAAGAAAGAATTTTAAGGCTGGTCCATTTATCGATATGGATATCGTGTTTATCACAATAAATCGTTTGCTAAGATCCAATATCACTCTCCACGTTTTCACGCTCTCTATTTATATTTTTATTCTTTCAAGATCAAAGTTACAAAATACTGAGTAATTTTTACTACAAAATCACATCTAGTTAATTATACGTTTACAGCCGGTACAGTTGGTTACTCACTATAGAACTATATTATAAAGTATCGCCTAAAAAGTACTCACCATGATTATTATCTTTCATCGTAGAGTTTATTGAAGAAGGCTTTGTAGAGTCAGAACATTGTGCGGCAACTTTTTCCACACCCAAATTCTGAACTAAATTAGGAGACGATATACTAGAATTATGAGTTGACGAATGAGGTAGATCATCTGAATCACTTAATGAACTATTTTCTTCTACAGTTGAAGGTATATCGACAACATAATTCGGGCGTGTGTCCCACTGGAATGAAATGAAAATTACACATTAATTAAATTCAATATCCGAGGTTCGACTCCAAATCATATTTTGAACTTTGAAATGAGAATTTATGGCTAAAAAATGTTTATTGTGTAGTTATAGTATGAAAGTAATATGAAAAAAAACGCTTAAAACAACACCAAAAGCTGATCTCTATCTAATCATCAGTTCTAGAATAAGGAACCCTAGCTTATAAAAATTTCATTTTCCCCCGTGATCATAACTAAATTCTTTCCAAAATTTGTCTATTGTTGCTTGTATATAACACAAAAATACTAAATATATTTCGTTTTCACATGAATACTTCATAATTTATTATTCAAGAACTTACCAAATAAAAAAAAAGGTCATCCTGATTAAAAACAACATTTGATAACAAACAAACACATACTTCTGTCCAATGAGAAGAGTGACAGCTTTCTGTCATGAACATTAGATGAAAAAAAAAAAAAGGAAAAAGTATGGGCTAGCAGTTTCTTTTTTGTTTTCTGTGGAATACTAATGAATCAACTGTTTTTCATTTTAGTCCAGTGAAAGTGGTAAAAATTATGCTAATTCAATTAGTGAAGTACATTGCCAACTTTTTTATCAACTCTAATGGGCTTGTTTCATTCTATTGAAAATGATACTGGTTTGCTTATAGATTGATCAAGTTAGGGGTAAATTATACTTATCGAGTCTAATCGTTCCCAATACCTCTTTATATTTGCGGAAAAAAGAAAAATTCAAGAAGCAAGAGTTTAAATTGGCCGCGTGTCTGTTAACCAATAAAATTGATCGTTTCTACAGCAGTGTTGCCAAGTGTCAATTATTTTAACAAAAATACAAAGTTATGACATTAGCAAGAGTACATTGTCTTATACATCCAAGAGAGATAGCTGACTGGGTGACAATATGGCTAATATATAACGTTAAATTTATTATTTTTGGTGGGTGGCATGAATGCATGACTGATTTATTTTATTAGGGTTCATGAGCCTTCGAGAACCATTCAAAAATATAGCTCGTTAAATTTTATTTAGAACCATGGTTTTCGAGTGCATTTTATTTCATATGGAGAATGTTTTCATGAATTTAAACATTAACAGGTTCATATACATTTCCATTATTAAAATTTCTGTGATATCAACATGAAAATGTCTACTGCCAGAGATATTTCAAAAATAACGTTTTTATTGCATTTTATGTTATTTGGATCCCATGTGTAATTAATTCTTCCTTCCAATGCATTTCTTACACTTTCTTCTTAGATTTAGTTGTCGGAAGTGATTTTACTTTGAATCACGAATGAATCAGATACTGTTTACACGCTTCGTGAATTTAACAATTTGGCAATGTTCATTATTTTTATTGTTCCTATTGGTCAATCGAACAAACAGCGGGACTAGGCCCGTGACGTCACGGGCCTAGAAAATCCGATTTTTAATAATAAATTATGGGAAAACAACGCTATTTAGAGAGCTGAAACAAAGTACACTGTTTTTCAATTAGAAATTACTACCAAATGAACTGTAAACCAAAAATAATGAAACAAGCCCATTGAAACTACCATCAGTGGTTATTGATACCATAGTGAATTTTGATTTTAGAGATGATTCCCTCCTGCATCTTTGTTGAGCCAGCAGAGCCACCTTGAAATTTAAATTTCAAATATGACTCAATGCCTGACATTTCAGATCCTCTAAAACCATAGAATGATAAACTTCACAAGAAGAATTTTGTGTGTAAACACAAAGAACTTGGTGAGGTCACACAGTATGAAAGCAGGGTGCTTGCCCATTTCAAAACCATCCACTACATCTCTCTCACAACATTACGCGTGTTCCTTTTTTCAACAGTCAAGTTATAGATGTAACCACAATTCAATCACGGACCTTCGCTGTTGACGATGGATCTATGGCCGTGATGGCGAGGACGGGTTTCAGACCACATTTTGGTTTTGGGCAGGTCTTATTCCGCCCCAAAACCCGGGCCCCGCCCAGCAGAAAACTACTCAACCGGGTCACTCTAATGTACCCGTTAGAGCAAATAAAGCGGGGCCGAGTGAAAATCCACCTATGGGGAGAAGTTCAATCAAACCTCCACCCAAACATAGGGGTAAACCAGAGACTCACACTCATCCCAAGGCTGGGAAACCAGTTGGTTCTCAGGAGACGAAGACGGCTAACGACTCGTCGAGAAAACCAGGGAAAAATGCTGGACTTGGCTCTTCGAAAGCGAAGACGAAAATCGTCTCGTCAAAGGGATCCAAAAAACCAGCAGGCAACTCAGAGACGGCAGGTGTCCTCACCTCATCATCTGAGCCTACTCATCCCTCGATCCTAGGAGAGGGGGGCGGAGGTGTCCTTAAGGATCCTCCATTTTCTCAGCTTCATAAAACTACTCTAACGACATATAACAAGGAAATTAGAAAGGTCAAACGTGAGTCTTGGAGGAAGTTCTGTGAGAGTATCTCTGATTTACCTTGCAGCACAAGAATTCACATGATTTTCTCTAGAGAGCCGACTGTTGAAATAATAGACATAACATTCAATATATTCCACAAAACAATAGACATTCCTAGAAACAATGAACCTAGAGAAACACCAACACAAAGGATATTACCTGATGTAACTGAAGTACAGGTAAATTTAATGAGACATCCCGATGAAAGAGGAGGACAAATACCTGCCCAAAACCTAATTAATGAACCATCAATAATAATAACAAACTCACTGAGGGGATCTAACCACATGAAAGAACAAACAAGAAGATAAAACGTTCAGTTTGAGTAGATTCATGTAAATGATTGCACAGTCTGCTATCGAAAGCGCTCGCATATAATAATTAGAAGTTATTAAAGCTTCGAACCCTTTTTGTGAACAAGTGTTAATATAAAAAAAGGGAAATTGAAATTGTAAAAAAAATCCTTTTTTTTTTTAGTTCAGAACGGTACTTAAAAGATACGCCTCGTATTAACAGTTTAAAGTAGACTCATGAAAACGGACAAAACTTTTGGAACAACCTAATCGAAGGTCATATGTATAACAAAACACATTTTGTGTAAACTGTTCTGTGATCTCACAGTACAGTGTTTTTCGGTTATGCAGATTTTATAATCAGCAGCAAAAAAATCGTCAGATGTTAACAATGTGAAATGAGTGTTCTTGGGAAAAATTCAGTACAGAAATAGATACTTCAGTTACCTTTGAACTGGCTGGGACCTTCTCCTGTTTGAAACGGGACACCACTTCCAAAGCCCCTTTTACTTTACGAATTCTAATCTTGATATCTGTATTTGTCTCATTATGTACATCCTTCTTAACTACTGACTGAAAAATACTCTTTGGTTTTTCCTTACTCACATTATTGACATCTATCTCCGAAACGAGCACCTTCAATTCATGTTTGGGAAGCAGAAGCTGCCTGATGACAGCTTCTTGACGATTTGGCATGTTTCCCATCACAGTGAGTTGGTCCTTTATATCTTTATATGGCGTACCTGGCAATATCGAAACAATCTCTCTAGCATCATCTTCAATTAATCGTTCAAAATCGGCATCATCTTCTCTATCTCGTAGCTTCAGAAAATGTAGAATTGTCAAGTGGATTCTCAAGTGATTTTTGTCTAATGGTATCTTTCGCAAGTAATTTACAATGTCTTGTTCAGACTTTATCCATGGTAATATGCGTCTTATAGATGATGCTTCTTCTATGAGGTGGTCCTGAAAAATAAAATAAATATATAGTGATAGATAATTTATTGGTGTTTTATACATTGATCAGTCGTTGCATACAAGGTGTTCCAAATTAAGTCGACACCATTGCCAACTCCGTTATTAATGGTGCTACGAATTCGGTTAAATCGGCAAACTAGTAGCATTTTTAATGACCTTCTAGATTCCGAAAACAAAAAAAAGACAGTCGCGTTTTCAAAATATTTCATAAAATGATTTTTTTTTTAAACGGAATACTCAAATTTTGATGAGGTTCTGCTTGAACACGGACATCACGTTTTGCGACTTCCACCCTACCATTCGAATTTGAATCCCATTGAACTCATTTTGGCTATCATCAAAAACAACGTGTTCCAAAAGAATGTAACTTTCAAGTTGGAAGATGCGAGAAAGCTGGCGGAGAAGGAGTTTGATCAAATCACTTCCGAGGAGTTGCCGACATGTAGTGAATACAGAGCAGAAATATTGGGAAAATGAAACATTCACAGACGTTCAAACAGAGATAAACCCAGTGATTAAAAATTTAAATGACGATAGTAGCACAAGCAGCAGTGACTGATTAAGTTTTATTTTTGGATAAGTGTATTGTTACGTTTTTACCCGTGGGTTGACCAATAATTGACTAGACTGAATAATCAAACTTAACTTTATTTCACTTTAAATACGCAAACATATTAACTAAAACTACTAGATCACTTCGCGTACTGCACTGTAGCTTCCACCAGACTGTGTCGATATTGTAACGCATCTGAAGCCGGCCCTGACCGATATCTCAGCCGGAAAATAAACACATGACTTATCGCGAAAGAAATAAAGTCAACAAGTCGCCGCGAAAAGTCTAGGCCCCTAGCGAAACAACTAGAGAAATCTAGCACGGTCGTTACCGATTTATAAGGCCCGCTTCTCGTCCCGAGATGACAGTCTGTATTCAGAAAGCGAATCGTGCGTTTAAATAAAGAATTCGAACAGTGACGATGAATTAAATAAGTGTTGAATATAAATTAGTTGTGATAGTGAAATATTGTTAAAAATAAATTTGTTTAAGACAGTTAATTCTTCAATTCGTTACAATTGGTGTCAGAAGTGGGATGAAGAAGGCCTATGATATCAAGGTGAATGCTGGAGGATTGGAAACCGGTGACCTAGTTTGGCTGTACAATATCCTAAGCGACGCCGTGGCTCATCACCGAAGTTGCGGAACTCGTGGGAGGGTCCGTACAAAGTCATGAAAAAGATTAATGACCTCGTCTACCGAATCCATAAGTCACCTCGAGGAAAGCCTAGGGTCATCTATTTTAATAAATTGGCTCCTTATGCTGGAAATCGCGACCAAGTTCGCGCCTTCAGACCACCAGAGGGTGGAGTGACGTTCCAGCAATTCATGTCCTTATACTCGAACGGACAGAAGGTTCCAGTTGATTACACACTAGCTTACTGCGTGGCAGAGGATCTCCAAATGTCCAAGGGAATCGCTGTGACATTCAACAAAAAATTCGGTCAGCTCCAAACACGAGACCTTTTCAAAGTTCCAGTTGATTACGCACTAGCTCACAGCGATACCCTTGGACACTGCGTGTCCAAGGGTATCGCTGTGGCATTCAACAAGAAATTCGGTCAGCTCCAAACATTACGAGAACAAAATCCTGAAGTCAGAGGAGTGCTACAGTTAAAGAAGGGTAGGAGAAACGTTTTCTACTTGTTGGCCAAAAAGCTTTCTCGAGACAAACCGTCATATGAAGATGTCTGATATAGTCTTACCAGACTGAGGAACACGATGCTCGACCAGAATCTCGTGAACTTGGCAATCCCGAAATTAGCCTCTGGGCTCGACAGGCTGGACTGGAGAATTGTGAGAAGCATGTTGGAAACGATCTTCAGATCCAGCAGTATTAAGATTTTGGTGTGCGGTAACCATCTTCCCCAACATGAAGACTGTGGAGTGTTACTTCCATCGAACTTCATAGTGCAGATATGGGGAGTCCTGCAGGTATCGACACACGCCAAGGATAAAATTTAGGAGCGAAACGTCTTTGAGAAGGGGGCAATGTAACGAATCTGAAGCCGGCCCTGACCGATATCTCAGACAGCAAATAAACACATGACTCGTCGCGAAAGAAATGAAGTCGACAAGTCGCCGCGAAAAGTCTAAGCCACTACCGAAACAACTAGAGAAATCTAGCACGGTCGTTACCGATTTATAAGGCCCGCTTCTCGTCCCGAGATGGCAGTCTGTATTCAGAAAGCGAATCGAGCGTTTAAATAAAGAATTCTAAGAGTGAAGATAAATTAAGCGTTAGTTGCTAAGTGTTGAATATAAATTAGTTGTGATAGTGAAATATTGTTAAAAATAAATTTGTTTAAGACAGTTAATTCTTTAATTCGTTACAATATCCTCGTGGCTAGTCTTTATATATCGTAATCGAATACGCTACAAAATTTCGCCGAAATTACATCTGGAATTTGCGGGTTCTTCCATCCGGGCATTCCCATTTCCGAGTGAGTAGGTCATCTCGAATGCTCATGGAGTCCCATTGAAGCCAGTAACCCTTTTCTTGCTGGCCGTGCTTGGACATCTCTTACCATTCCGTACAGTTTTCAAGACGGGATCCTCCTTCTGGGCTACGATGATGTCTTGCCTCGTCAGGAAGGTAGGATCACACTCAGAGGCTGTTAACGACCGTACCACACCATGATCAGGTGATTTTTCAAATTGTCTGTCCGTATCCTTGGACAAGGGACCCTTACAGGTTGCTATTCTCCGGATCAGAGGGAACCGGAAGTGGTGGGAGGTAGGGGAGCTTATCTCCGTATCAGAGCTGTCGATAATGGAGTCTCTCCCCGCTACCTTATCACGTTTGGTGGGAAGTTCTTCTTCTGGTAGCTGGGTATCCTTGTCCTCCTGGAGTTGACAAAATTTGCATCCAGATGTCAGGGATGGTCTTTTCAAGAGGCTATCTGCCTTTTCGTGACTTTTTCCTTTCCGAAGTTTCCGGAAAAACTCTTCAAATTTTTTTTCGACTCCTTCAAGCTTCTTTACAAATTTCCTTCCGACTCCTTCAAGCTTCTTTACAAATTTCCTTCCGACTCCTTCAAGCTACTCTTCGAGTTTCCTTCCAACCCCATCAAACTTCTCATCGACTATTTGTTCCAATCCCTCCTTTGTTTCCTGAAATACTTTTTCAAATTCTTCCTGAATCAATTCCTGTACCTCCCCTTTGCTCACTTGGGAAGATTTCAAATCTTCAAATAAATGAAGGTACATTTTATTGTCTTTTTCTTGTTTCTTCTGAATATTTACCAATAATTTACGATATTCCTCTCTGTTTCTTTGTTTTTCCATCTTCCTCTCTTCTGCGTTCATCTTGTTTCATCTTGCCTCGAACATTTTCTTGAGTTCATCGTAATCGACACTCATTATTTTCACCATATAACAGAAAATGTTGTCAATTATTCCACTTCTGACACCAAATGTTACGTTTTTACCCGTGGGTTGACCAATAATTGACTACACTGAATAATCAAACATTTCAACTGAAACTTCAACTATTATTTGAATGTCTAATGCCTTACTAGATCCCTTCGCGTACCGCACTGTAGCTTCCACCTGACTGTGTCAGTATCCTCGTGGCTAGCCTTTATATATCGTAATCGAATGCGGTAGAAAATTCGCCAGAATTCCATCGAAGTCGGTAGCATTATTCTCGCTACATCTAGAGCGGCAGCGAACATCGTACATTCGCGCGCTCTTAGCTACGTCACAATTGGTTTATGGCTACCAGTGGCGGTCGGCGTTATTTTCTTTAGGGCATGATTTACAACAAAATGTTGAATTGTTTTCCAGATAGAGATCGAAGAGCGTGCGGTTGGAACATCATTCAAGGTCAAACGGCAGTTCCGGTAAAAACTACGCCAAATAAAGTGTATAATTGTTTACTTATGATGCACTGTTTGGAACCTTTGGTGTAGTAATGAATATTACTGGAGTTTTTCCCAACACCAAATCGTTATTTTTAACACCTCGACAGTTTAATCTTCCTCTTGAAGATGATAATTTGGTGATCGAAACACGAATCGAGGTATTGAAAATAACGATTTGGTGTTGGGAAAAAACTCCAGTAATATTATATAATTATTGATAAATACGTAATTATTCATAACTTTCATTTCTTATTAACTATTGCACCATCTGTAGCTTTTGAGACAACTTTTAGGATGTCAAAATACAAGTTTATACGAATTTATTACTGGGTGTCTCAAATTCCGAGGTGAACTTACTAAGATGACTGGACTATAGACCGACTCTACACCGGGCATCAGAACACTCAGAAATCACAGGCAACAAAAAGCTGATGAGTGTGGTGAACATCAACTCCATATAAATGGTATCTGTGGGGATTTCAAAATCTATGGTACATAACTGAGAGTATGGTGTCAGATAGATCATGAGTTTAATAATTGTTGTGTGGCTCATGTCCGAATTTTGAAAGTACGGATCTTATTTTCTTCGCAGTATTGTCGATATGATTACTCCGTTTCAGATATTTCACTAGTTTCTCAAAGATAGTAAGTGCTCGTTAAACATTTTTATGTCCAATATTTTCTAGTTTGGTAGTGTTGCAGAATTATATGAAGTGTAACGGAAATTTTATTGTGATTTACTGATAATGTTCTACAATTGAGCCATCGGATTAGTTGAGTGAAGCCTTTCTCTGCTTTCTCTTTTTGTATGGTTCAATTGTTTGCCTGGTAGATTACTGCTGTGTCATTAGCAAAATCTAACTTTCTCCAAAATTTGAAAACAAGTGGAACTTGAGAATAGTTTATATTTTATACATCCATTTCATATTTTTCAGTTAACTTACCATCAATTCCTAAGGTATTCCTATGAAACCGATTTTAGTATTTGGAATTTTGTCAAATGCCTATTTTTGACAGATTACTGATCAGATATATAAGCCTATGTATTATTATTGCGTTTTTGAATGTTG